TGATTAACACAATACTTGGCATGTAGTAAGTGCACAATAAATACTTGTTGATTGTCTTATGAAAAAAAATCTATGAAATTCTAATTGAATAAATGAAATTGTAAGAAATGTGTACTAATTAAATCACTGGCCTCACTTCCTGTTACTTCTTTTTTTTCCATTTCAGTGTGCATAGGACAAGAAAACTGTCTTTGGAGTACACATAACGTTTGGAATCTACATAGCTCATCTTCTGAACAACAAATAGGGAATAGCTAAGGGTATTACCATTTTTTTCCCCTGGGGCCTCTTTGTAGATTTACCATGATGTAAACTACATCAAGTCATTTTACTTTTCTGAATTTCATCATCTTAGTCCATAAAATGAGGACTAAGTGATTTAAAATGTCCAGTATTACCCACATGTACAAAAATATTCATAGCCACTCTCTCTGTGGTGGCAAAGAATTGGAAATTGAGAGGATGGCCATCAATTGGGGAATGGCTGAGCAAGTTGTGGTACATGAATGTGATGGAATACTACTGTGCTATAAGAAATGATGAACAGGCTGACTTCAGAAAAACCTGGAAAGACTTGTATGGTCTAATGCTGAATGAAGTGAGAAGAACCAGGAGAATGTTGTACACAATAACAGCCACGTTGTGCGATGACTAATAGTGATAAACTTAACTCTTCCCAATAATACAAGGATCTAAGACATCTCCAGAGGCCTCATGATGGAAAATGGTATCCAAATCCAAAGAAAGAACTATGAAAGTTGAATTGCTGTTTTTTTCTCTTCTGTTGAATTTTGTTTCCTCTTTCTGATGGTTTCTCCTATTGGTTTTAATTTTTACTTACAACATCACTAACATGAAAATATGTTTAATATGAATGTAAATGTATAGCCTGTATCAGATAGTGTGCCGTCTTGGGGAGGGTGGTGGGGAGGAAGGGGGAGAAAAATTTTAAACTCAAAAGCATATGGAAGTGATTATTGATAAATCAAAATAAATAAATATTTAAAAAAAGTCCAGTATTAAATTGTATGAACTCTGAAAACCCAAATGAAATATTCTAATTACTAATTCTAATTCTAATTACTATTCTAATATTCTAATTACTTCCATTTTCCCCAACTACGTATTTAGAAATCAACCAACCAAACTAACAAGTATTTATGTATCTAATAATCTTTATCAAGCATTGTGCTAGGTGCTAGATACAAAGATAAAACTTAAACTATCCCTGATCACAAATTTACATTCTACAGGGAGAGACAAAATAAATAGAAATATACAAAAATACTTACAATAGGTGATTGGGGGGGCAGGGAGAAGCATCTGCCGCTTGTGGTGAGCAGAGCAGGAAAGGATTCATGCAGGAGGGGTGGTGTTTGAGCAGAGATTTGGAGGAAATGAGGGATTCTAAGGGGCAGAAGTGTGAGGGATAGACTGTGTAGAGATGGGAGACGGAGTATTGTGTGTGAAGAACAGCAAGGTCAGTTCAGAGTTCAGGGTAGAAAGAGGAGTTGGATCCATGTTGTGAAGGGTTATAAATGCCCAACAGGGGAGTTTGCATTTGATCTTAGATGCAGTAGAAACCACTGCAATAAATTGAGGAGAGTGACACAGTCAGACTTGCACTTAGAGAAAACCACTTTGGCAGCTGAATGGAGAATGGTTGAAGAGGAGAGACCTAAGACGGGGAGACCAATCTCCCCGGGGAGACTGTATCAATAGTCCAAATGGCAGGTAATGTGGGACAGAACAAAGGTGGCAGCTGTGTGAGTGGAGAATGGAACAGGAATGAGAAGTAGAAATGATAAAATTCAGTACCTGAATATTTGGTGTGATCAAGGGTGACGAGTCAAGGGTAATGAGGAAGTTAAAATTATGGTGTATCATTTAATAATTGATTCTACTCTGTAATCAAGCCTATTCCCCGTTTTGTCAAAGCTCCATTTCTCAGTTCATCTCAAAAAATGTAGTTTCCCCTGTCTGAATTGACTTAAAGGCATGATTAAGAGGGAAGGATGTGATCATTCCTAGCCTCCTGGACATTTACTTGGTAACTAGTTTAACCTGGGACCTCTGTTTTACTACCTGTCAACAAAAACCAGTTTAGGATGAGGCCCATCCCAAGGGGCAATTCTTCTTGTCTCTCCTTATAAAATTAGGGGTGGTTTGATCTCCCCCAAGGGAATGACTAACTAGGTGGTCCTGATTGGGATGGTTGATTTTCTAGTCAAGATTACTAAAGGCCCATAAAGCAATCAACATTACTTAATTGTTAGAGAGGCATGATCACCCACACCTGAAGGACCACCCATCTTTCCCAGCTGTGGCCAACAGTGACATTCCCCAACTACCCAGAACTCCTTTTTTTTCTCTGTCTCAATAAACAGGGATTTTTCTTTCTCATCTTGGTCACTGACCTGAGGGGACCAGTCTGATCCACTTTATTAACAGTTATACATGTCACTGTTAAAAAAAAAGACTGTTACCTTGCTCTGAGAAAATGTGCCTCAGTTTGCCTTTGTTACATTTTATCTGCCACAGTTCCCATTTCATTGCTTGAAAATAAAGGAAATTTTGGTAGGTGTGTCTTAAATACTCATAAACTGCACGGTAATTGCTGTAGTTCCATTTTTTTTATCAGTCACATCCAATTCTTAATGAGCCCATTTGGGGTTTTCTTGGCAAAGGTCCAATTTTTGCAATTTTTTTCTCCAGATCATTTTGCATATGAGGAAATCAAGGTTAAGTGATTTGCCCAGGGTCCCATAGCTAGTAAGTGTCTGAGGCTGGATTTGAACTCATGAAGATGAGTCTTCTTGACTCCAGGCCTTGGCACACTATCCACTGTGTCACCTTGCTGCCCCTACCTTCTCCAATAACGTGAAATTTTCCAATATTATTTCTCATTAACAAAGCCAGCCAGCTTCAAGCTGGGTTAATCTCAAATTTAGGACTTTCCATTGGCAACAGTAACAGAACTGAGTCTGGAAAAGACTTCAAATCTGCCTTCTATAAAACTTGACTGCAGCCTATAATTGGTTGTTTTTCAGGGTATGCCCATATTTCCTTTCTTTTCAAAACAATCTCATTTTGGAGATACAACCTACATTACAGGATGACCTATATATTTGGACCAATATGGTACAAAGTTGGATATTCATCTCTCCGACTCTTGATTTTGAAATAATTACAGTTAAATTCGTTTATTTTTTAAAGTTATACTTTAAAATAGGGAAAGACAATGCAAGTAGATATAGACAATCTCTTATTTATGTATGCAAAAAAAGTAACTCTATCCCTACTTCTTAGCTTGATTCAATTTTCGTGTAATCCTTGGTGATTTTTCTTTATATTTTAATGCACTTATTTACAGTGGTGGCTGACATCCTATATCTCTTCCTCCTAAAATCCAAGGTAACTTCGAAGCAAATCTAAATATTCCATTGCTTCTCCCCCCATCAAAAAAGTTTCTGAAACTAGAGACACAATTTAAGCTTGTCTCTCCCTTACCATACTCAAAGTCACACAACCCAAAAACAGACAGAAAGAAAAAAAAAAGAAAAAAGGTCACAATATTATTTTCTTTATGAGAATAAAGGAGTAAAAGCACCACAGCTAGCCACTAGGCAGCAGGTCCTTGATTAACCTTGTCTTAGGCCACAGTGTACAACATAACTGCTGTCTGCAAATAAGAAACAGGCGGCATGTCGGCAGTATACCTGATTTTAAAAATTTCAAATGGCAGAATATTTTTGTCATATGGACCTAAAAGTCTAGAAAAATCGATATGAAGCCTTTCTTTATTAGTAAGGACTCATATTTATATAAAGCTTGGGTTTACAAAGCATTTTCCTCACAACAACCCTGTGAGGTAGGTTATGCAAGTACTGTTGCTTCTTCAGGAGATCCCTCATATCCCCATGATGTGAGCTTTTCCTCCAGTGGTGTGTCCACCCATCAAACACCCACTCATCCCACACAATTCTTCCCCATGTTGAGAATCCTAAACAAAGTAGTGGAGGGCTTCTTCTGAGTTTTTTTTTTTAACGTGCTAGTATTATCCCTATCTTTACAGACAAAGAAACTGATGCTCAGAAAGATTAAGTGACTTGCTTGCTCCCAATCATGACTGTGTGAACCAAGCTCCCTGATTCCTAGACTTTTATTCTTTTCACTGTCATAATGCTTATCAAAAGAGCTAGGATTAGCAGGGAGGGTTTCATAAAGGAGATGGATCTTAAAGGATGGGTAGGATTTAGATAGCGGAGAGAAAAGAAAAGCATCCCAAAAAGCATGCTGGAGCAATATAGCTCTTATTTTCTACTTTCTAATTCCTATAGCACCAAGACTGCAACAGTCTGGCACTTAGTTATATACTGTCTTAGGCTGATTTAGAGTTTTGTGTGTTAAACTTATCTCTCTAAACCAGACCACACCATCTAAAAGTACGCTTCATTTAATGCTTTCAATTAATTCCACAAGAAACATTAGGTAGTGAAACGTTTCAGGGGTTAGTTACATAGGAACGATGTTGTAAATTACACATTAACATTATTACAAAATGAAGTTAGCTGGAAAAACTTTCCTATGTTTTTTTCTTACCTCCTGCAGAACCTAGCACAGTACTCACTGAAGAGTAGATGCGCAATGAATGTTTGCCGACTGACCACAGTGGAAATTCTGGCTAATCTCAACAGTTTTTCTTTCTGTCTCAAATTTATGCTGATAACAACTGAAGTAATTTACAACTAAGAAATTTCTTTAAGGCACCAATGTTATTAAGTTTAGAACTAGCTGACCATGCAACAAATTTTTCGCAAGATATTTTTGGTCTTTATATGTTATACAAGTAAAAGATAGTTTGTAAACTAACCCGGGCCTAAAACTGAAAATGATGCAAACACACACTAGCACCAACTCGTATCAATGCTTATTTTGTCCTTTTCCATTTATTTTTTTAAAGAGACACTGACTGATTACCATGCTTTGTATCTCTGGGGAATGCAACCAGGAAGCTTCAGATAAAAACAAAATTTCCATTTGCTTTTTTTTTTAATTTAAAAAGTGTTATGATAATTTCAAAGATAGAATCATATCATTTTGAGAGTTTAAGGATTTTCCTAAATAGAAAACAACAGTAAAGTCCATGTAAGAAGAAAAATTTTCCAGGTTTTTTACTTAATTTTTAAAAGGCTATAAAAACAAGCCATATATAAAAATTATGTATCACTATGTTACTCTAAGTATTAAAACTCAACAACCCCAAGTACAGAAAGGGTAACCAGGGAAAGCACAGTAGACACAACTGAGTGCTACTCACCACTAAGTTGAGAATTTCATTTTAATTATTTTAGGGGCTAAGTTGCTTTGAATGGTATCTATCACATTACATGCAGTCACTTAAAAGTTCCTTGAAATGACGTAAAACTTGGGAGTTCTTTTTTCCTACTGACAGTTTTATTTCATCCATGTAACACAAAATAACCTGGGAAAAATATGAAAGGCAAATTGATCAAATATTTACAAAAACGACCAGAATTTTGAGAAAGAAAGCTAAGCAATTGGTATAGGGAGTGGTGGCACACACCTATTGTCCCTGCTACTGGGGGAAGCTGGAGTTCCGAGTTACAGTGGGCAAAAGCTGACTGGTTGTCCACATTAAGTCCATTACCAATACCATTAGCTTCAAGGTACTGCCCTTGGGTGAACCGGCCCAGATTGGAAAGTGAAGAAGTGAAAGCAATGGAATTAGGCTCATGAGTAGGCCCTGCACTTCCAGCCGGAGTAAGATAAGGTCACCCAGTCTTTTAAAAAAAGAGTGGAAACAAGAGAGAACAGAGGAGAGGGGAAAAGGAAAGGAAGAGAAAGGAGAGAAAAAGAGAGAAAGAAATTGGCAATGTTGGGAAAGGGCCCTGAATTGACATATCCCGCCTTTTGCTTGAACACAGTGATATTGCTAAATAACTGAAAATCATTCTGGCCCCAGGCCAGTATCATTGTGGAAAAAATGCTGAACCGAGTATCCTAACCCCTGGGTTCCTGTTTTGGGCCTGCCATTAATTAGCTGTGTGACCTTGTGCAAGCCACTTATGTTCACTGGGTCTTAGTTTTCTGATCTGTAGAATGAGAGTTTTCAATTATAAACACTCTCAGGTCAGTTCCAATTTTAAAATTTTAATGATTTAAGGTTTAGGAGCTGGTGAATTCATTCCAAGCTTTTAAACTGCTTGTGCATTTATTTGACTATGAGAGGTGATTGGTATTCAGTCATATGTATCTTTCCTTGGCAACCACTATTTTATCAATAACCTGGGAAAATACTCAGTTGGTTCAAAGTCATGATTTGTGTGACTTTCTCAGCAAAACTAGCTCTTTCAAGAGATAAATTTCATTCATGGCTTTAAAAAAAACTTATAATGGACCTGATTAAATACTATAAGTGAGTTAAGCACCAAATATCTAAGTCTTTAAGGTTTTATAATCCCTCTACATTACCTCTTTTAAAAGGTAGTGAAATCCATGCCTGATGGCATATGCGTCATGATCATTTACAACATCAAAAAGTCTATTTTTAAAAAAGTATTTTATATAAGGTGGTGAAGATCTGCAAAAATTTTTTTATTGTGTCACACCAAGATACTGTAAATATTTCAAAGTAATACAAAATTATTCCACAGAATAGATTACGTGGAGATCGAGTGATGCAAAAAGTTCTATTTTTAGTTTGTCACAGCAGTTCTTAAAAGTTCAAAAAGCTGATTTTCCAAGAGAAAGACGATTATTCTAATAATTTTGAATGTTCCACCCTTGCAATCGTCCAGTCAGGTTTCACTCCTTGTGTAAACTCTCTCTGAAATCTAAAAGAAAAAATAGCATAATGAACTCATAATAAAATCAATTCATCTAAAACTTGGATAATTATATAATTTATAATTATCTTATACTTTTTAAACAACCAGCTAATTACCAAGTATCTGTCTAATGCAAAAAGGAACCTTCACCTCAGCAAAACATTTAATTTACCAAATCACCAACCAAATACATAATCATATAGCTCAACGGCACGTTCAAACTTTAAATGTGTATTTTCTAGTGGGTAGCCAAATTAAAATTAAGATATGTCATTATTTAACATGCCTCAGTATAATATAAAACAATTTCTTAATTATATATCTATGCAAGTAGTGTTCATACATAAAAATATACAGCAGACACAGACGTTTCAGAAATCTGACAGTTAACAATTCATGTGAAGTTAGTTGCTCTTCCTATTCAATCAATTAAAATTTTAATTCATTTTTCTTCATTCCTATCTTTATATTGGAAAGCATTTCACCATATGCAGTTTAGATTTATTAAAGACATTTCTAGTATAAAGGTGAAAGAATTTAATTTTCATACTTTTAAGTCATTCTTATAAAATAAAATCAGCTATTATCCTAGATCAGTGGTCTCCAAACTCTTTTGATCACACACCCCCCTTTCAGCAAAAACACATAGCTCTAATGGGTATATTTACTTCTTTATAATTTGTATACATGTACTACCATATTAATCATTATGTACATTATAAAACACACAAAAAAGAGCCTTTGAAATCAAAGAATGAGATAACCCTTGATCTTAGGGAGCCAATAGAGTTTAATGAGTAAGAGAGGTGCATGGACAGATCTGTGCTTTAGGAAAATCATTTTGGTAGCTGGGTGGAAGGTGTTATGTAACAGGGAGAGCCTTAAGGCAAGAAGATCAATTAAGACGCTATTGCAATAGTTCAGGCAAGAGGTAATGGAGCTTGAACTGAGGTGTCCAGGGATGTTTACATGAATAGAGAGGAGAGAGGTACAAGGAATGTCATGGAAGTAGAAAGGACATCTGTCAACTGATTAGACATGTGGAGTAAGAAGGAAGCTGGGTGACTAGGATTGTGGTACCCTCCAAAGTAAATGCGAAGTTTGGAAGAGGGTTTGAATTGGAGGGAATAAACAACATCTCAGAGCACAACCCATTCATGCCAGTTCAATTTGTAATAATCAATCCAAAGTCTGGGTGTAATACTCACCCAAAAGGAAAAGTGGGGATGCCAGGAATCTCACAGGTCACTGACCCAGAGTGCAGGGATCAGCCTCTGAGGAGTAGCTGTCTACAGCTATAAGGTGATTGGGGGGGAAAGTATAGAATAGGGAATTTTCCTGATGGTACCTATGGAGCTACTACTGAGGGTGCCTGGGTATGTGGACTGTAGTGGTTCCAACTTCCCTAGGGAGATGACCTCTGCCCCTCCAACATTCCCTGCTTCACCTTCCAAATTAAGAAAATTGAGAGTTTGAATATAGGAGGTAGAAGACAAGGTGGATGATAATGGTGAGGATGGCTGTGTGAGTGTGATGGCTATCTCAGGAAGGTAGGTTGGAACCAATCTCCCACCCTCTGATCCTATACCTGTTGAGGTCAGGTCCTACCTCTGGAGAACATTGCCCTAAATAATGGCAAATTCTTTCCAGGCAGTTAAAAATTTCAGTTAATGTGCAAGTTAACTTAGAATTTACAATCAAATGAATGTCTTTCTACTACTGCTTTTGGCACTATTCTGTAAAAGATCTCTCTCACATTTATTCAAATGCAAGCAGATTCTCTTTGCTTCTTAATATCCAAGGAAATACTCCATCGAGGCAGTGATGACAGGACTCTGTACCTACTAGGCACTTAAATAAACATTTGTTAAACTGAATTGTTCCCAGCACCACAACATACTTCAGTGATCTAGTCTTACCTTTCCATCTAAATTTTGCCAACTATATAGGAATTACACTTGTTCATATTATCACTTATTATAATTACATTTATAAATTATAATGATCTAATTTTATATATTATAATTATATCACATATTATTGCTTTATTATAAAATAAATCATCAATATTATTGATAGTAACAATGTTTCAAAACCAATAAAGAGTGGAGACTATAAAACTGATTTGTGCTTTTTACTAAGAAATGCTGGGCTCTAACTATGATCAAAGGAAAAATTCTATTTAAAATGTAAAATGTCTTGTCATCAACTGCAAAAAAAGCAAACTTCAAAGAAACAGAAATGGAAAATATAAATTCTTTTAAGAAGAACTGTCAACAAATTAGTTGCTGACAAGGGAATGAGAAAAATGAACCTCTCTCCCTCCTTTGCATGTGGGGAGCTGTAGATGTAGGACATGGATATACCATTAGATGTGGTTAATGTGTTGGTTTGTATTTCTCAATTTTTTCCCCCCTTCTTTCTCTTTTATTCTTTGTTTATAAGGGATGATATAGACAAAATGAAGGCAAAAATAAATAAGGTCAATAATGGGGTAACTACTTTCTTTGCTTTGGAACCATCTTCATTGGCCATTTTTGAATGTGCTTTATGAGATTTTTTTTAAAGCAAATATTTCATAGCCTTGCTGATCCAATGCTAGCATTTTATGATTAAGAAATGATATATTTTGACAACTATGAATTGTGGCATTGATATTCTAAGACCAGTGAGTTAAGAACCCAGTATCAGTCTCTTTAAGCATTTCACCATCCATTTGTCAACTTGACTGAATTTCAGCACCACTGCTACCTCTTTAATTTCTGAAATCAAACCTTTGTTCTTCAGCTAGTATTTCTTTTTCCCCAACCCTTTCACAAATTACTTGCAAAATTTCATGTTTTTTCATTCTGAAAATAGCATCTAGATTTCACTTCCTGGTATCAATTTCTCCACTCTTAAGAGAAAGAGGTAACAAAGAAATCTCAGGAGACTTACTCATAGTTTGCACTAAGAAGCTGTTTAGTTTCTACATTCTGATCCCCTAGCTGAACTTGGAATATTTTGGTTCCACTTAACGTCTCATCAGGGAGTTTGGCACTGGTTAGATACCAAAAGCACATCAGGATGTGAACAAATTTCCTTCCTTAAAGAGAAAAACAAACAAAAATACATCAAATACACAATATTCAATAAGTTGAACATCCAAGATTTTATAAGTTATTGTTAGTATTTATACTATATTTGTTATTGGTGAATATGTTATATAGCTATGGTATAAAAGAAAGAAGAAGAACAGTAAAAAGAATATAATTCTAGTAAATGTTCTTTAACAACCATCTACCATTTTTCTAAAATTAAATTAAAGCTATCTGTCCAGATTACCATAATTACTCTAGACCAGAGACGAGAGTAAATATAAAGTTTTTGTCAACAAGTTTACTGTAGAAGAAACTAAAATATGAAAATATGATAGCCCCAAATTGACAAATAAATGAGACTAATCTAAATAGCAAGGTGACAACTAAAAACATCCATGGTGAAAATATTATTTGCTTAAAGCATTTTAGCAAGTACACCAACATGACAAATATACAATAACTGCAAACTCCGTGTGTGTGCACAGGCGCATGTGTGCTTGTAGAGGGGCTGGCAATTAATAAATTCAGAAGACTCTCTTTTTCCTTATTCCTGCTAATCTCCTGAATTTGTGATGTATCTAGAAATAGTACCATAGGTAAGGTCATACAGGAAAAGAAAATAGGATTTTTATGCAACGGCAAGGCAGAAGACACACACACACACACACACACACACACACACACATTAAAGAGTCTCAAAAATCAATCTTACTGGGGCAGCTAGGTGTCGCAGTAGATAGAGCACCGGCCCTGGATTCAGGTGGACCTGAGTTCAAATACGACCTCAGACACATAACAGTGACTAGCTCTGTGACCCTGGGCAAGTCATTAACCCCATTGCCTAGCCAAAAAAAAAAATATATATATATATATATATCTCAATCTTACTCCCAAGCCAACAGAAACTGGGTGGTAGTTCTCCTTTGAAAAGAAGGATAAAATAAACATAAATTCATCATGAACATGCAAGTTGGAATGCTGTTCAGTTTCTATATTGTGATCTACCAGTTGAACTGGAATATTTTGGTTCCACTTCAGAGTTTCATCAGGAAGGTAAGAATAGTGTTTCTAGGGAAAGCACCTCTATGGAATGTTCTTTCCATTCAAATCAGAAGCCAACTGGTGAGAACAAAATAATCTTTCAGACTGTCTTAAAAATTGTAATCCATTAAAAAAAAATCACCTTTACCAATCTAATGACCTTATGTATCAGACATGCAAATTACTAAGTTTTCACAACAAATCATCAAAGTTTTTGCAACCATATTCTCAATTTACTCAACATACATGGATTCTCAAAACAATGTAATTTAACATTTAATTGAATGAATTCAACGTAATTCAACATGCAAAAATAACCACAAGAGGGGAAAAGGAATAAAAAGAACAGTCTATTTTGGATTACAAAGCAGGGCACCGTTTATTTAAATTCAAACTAGCTTATCATCTGACTTCTTATAGGCCCTCTTTTGAACTTGAAAATATAGTACAGTAACTCATTTTCATGATTAAACTGTACTTGGAATTAGAAGACCTGGGTTCAAGTTCTACTTCTACCTATAGAATCTTGGGTAAATCACTTAACCCCACTGGGCCTCAGTTTCTTCATATGAAAAACGAGAATGATAGACGCAGCATGGCATGGCTGATACAATGCTCAACTTGAAGTCATAAAGAACTTTATTTAAATTTTGCCTATGACAATAGCTGTGATCATTGGCAAATCACCTGTGCCTTGTAATCTCTCTGTGCCTCAATTTCCTGATCTGCAAAATGGGGATGATAGTTATCTCTCAAAGGGTTATTGTGCTGTTCAAATGGTACAATGTTTGTAAAGTGCTATGCAATCATTAAAGCACTATATAAACATCAGTTTATACTAACCACAGAGTTGTTTTAAAGGAAATATTTTATAATTAGATAAATGAGTTATCATTTTTATTATTATCTAAAACTAGGAAATGAGGTATTTTTCATAAAAATTTTTTAGCAATACAACTACACAAATTTTAAAATAATTATAAAAAGACAATGTTTGTGAAATGTATCACATAGTTTTCTTCCTTCTTACAGCAAATACCATAAACCAGAGGAGCATAGAAGGAATGCCTATTAGATATATGGATAGAGGAAGAATTTATGACCAGACAAGATACAGAAAGGTTCCCAGGAGGAAAAGTAGACAATTTTGATTATATAAAATTAACTTTTTTTTTGCTTAAACAAAACCAATGCATCTAAAATTAGAAAAACAATAAACGGGGGTAAAAATTTTTATAGCAAGTTTCTCTGATAATGGTTTTATTTTTTAAAAGATATATAGAGAACTTACATATAAGAACCATCCCTAATTTAGAAATAATCAAAGGATAAGAAGAGGCAGTTTTGAGAGGAAGAAATCTCAATTATCAATTCAGTTCAGTCGAGTCTGACTCTTCGTAACCCCATTTAGGGTTTTAGGGATGGTTTGCCATTTCCTTCTCTAGCCAATTTTACAGATGAGAAACTGAGGCAAACAAGGTTGTCCAGGGTCACAGCTAGTAAGTGTCTGAGGCTAGATTTGAATTTAGAAAGATATGAGTCTTCCTGACTTCAGACCTGGCACTCTCTCCACTGTGCTACCTAGCTGCCCAAGTATCAATAGCCAAATGAAAAACATGCCCTAAATCACCAATAGAGAAATGCAAATTAAGACAACTTTGAAGTACTACCTCATACTATCAGATTGGCTAAGATGACAGAAAAGGAAAAATAACAAATTTTAGAGAGGTTGTGGGAAAATGGGCACATTGTGGTCTAGCCACTCTAAAAAGAAATTCGGAACTATGTCTATAAAGCTACTGAACTGTGCATACCCTTTGACCCAGCAATAATGCTATTAAGTCTATATTCCAAAGAAAAAGGAAAAGGACTCATGTATACAAAATATTTTTAGCAGCTATTTTTGTGGTGGCAAAGAATTAGAAATTGAGGTGGTACCCACCAACTGGCAAATGGCTGAACATGTTATGTATGGTATATGAATAGGATGGGATACTATATTGCTGTGAGAAATGATAAAGGGTTCACAGGAGGTAAAGTAGACAATTTTGATTATTATTATTTGTTTTCAGAGAAAACTGGGATGACTTGTATGAATGAAAAGCGAAGTGATCAGAACCAGGAGAACAATATATAATATAACAACAATATTGTAAAGACAAACAATTCTGAAAGACTTAGGAACTCTGATTAACACAATGATCAACCACAACTCCAGAGGTCTCATGACACATGCTACCCACCTCCAGATAAAGAGGGGACAGACTCACAGTGAAGATTGAGGAATATGTTGCTGTTGGGATTTTTTAAAACAAGATTAATGCAGGAATTTGTTTTGCTTGACTATACATGTTTGCAATAGGTTTTGTTTTTCTTGTTTTCTCGATGTTGAGGAAGAGGAGGTGAGAAGGAGAGAATTCAGAGCTGAAAATAAAACTGAATTTTTAGAAGAAGAAAATCAGTGACATCTATCAGTAATTTCTGCTAATAAAATACTTTTTCACTATCCACAAAAAAACCTCCAACAGCTGATACAAAAGATAACCATCTTCTCTAGAGCATCAACATTAGCATCCATGATTATTCTGTACAGCAATACAGCAATAACCTCAGGCTGTTGTTGAGCAGTTTGCCCCAATACAAAGTGTCTCATATTGCTAAGCTTTTCCAGCTGTGTGGTAAGGGGTTTTACTTTTCAATCTTCCTTAGTTGTAAGAGTATCAGCACTGTTTCCTTTAACAATACTGCTATTCTTTCTAATTTCCAGAGAGCTAGGAAACCAGATAAATATGTTTATTAGAATTAGTTGCAAGATAATAGTTAATGGACTTTCAATTCAGTTAGAAATTTGAGCCCCTACCAAATGCAATGCACTCTACTGGGTGCTGCCAATACAAAGACAACAACAAAACAGCTAGTAATCCAGTTTGGCTAGAAATTATTATTCCCAAGGAGAGTTGTCTGAAATAAGGATGGAAAGGTACATTGGAATCAGACCTAGCAGGGCTTTAAAAATCAGCTCAAGGAGTTTTTGTTCTATCCTAGAAAAAAAGGGGAGTCATTAAAGGTTTGGGGGAATGACAAGGTCAGACTTGTGTCTTAGGAAAATTATTTTGTCACCTGTGTGGAGGATAGGTTGGACAAAGGAGGAACTAGAATGGAAAAGGCCAATTTAAGAGGCAATTACAGTATTCTAGATGAGCAGTGATAGGGGCCTGAACTACAGTAATGCCTGTGTGAGTAGACAGGAGACATTTAAGAGACTTGTAGATACAATGGCAATTCTGTCAACTAATTGAGAGAAAAAAGTCAAAGATGTTCTGAGATTGTGACCTAGGTGACTGGGGCAGGGTAAGGATGGGAATGGTGGTACCTTCAATAAAAACTAGCAAGTTCACAGGTAAGATGGGTTTCCATCAGGGTGAAGAAGGTGAATTATATTTTGAACAGGAGTGTAATATAACTAAGGTATATCCAAGAAACGTATAAACACACAAGTTGGTAATACCTGGCTTTCAGGAGAGAGATTACAGTTGGATATATAGATTGAGGAGTCACCCTCATAGACTTAAACAATATTATCTGCAGAAAAGACAATTATGGAAAAGAGCATAAAGAGAAGTGGGTCCAGAAGGGATCCCTGGCAAAATCTCACAGTAACAGGAAAGGAGGTTCATGATGATTCAACCAAGATAGCTAAGAAGGAATAGTCAGATATAGAGAAAACCAGAGGAGCACAACATCATAGAAGCCAAATGATGAAAGAATGGCTAGAAGAGGTACAGTAATAAAAAAAAAAAAATGTCAAAAGCATTTGATCCTATGTCAGGCCTACTGTTCAAGGCTCTGGTCCTTCTGATATTTGGTGTGATGTCTTAGGCCTCAGAAGGGGTAGGGTTAAGCCTCTCCCTGAGGTCTCAGTCATTATGCTCAAGGAAAATATAAGTTAATAGATTTTAACTAAGTGTCTGATTGCTTATAAGACAAGAGAATGGACTTTATTGTTTTGGGATTTTGTGACACCTATTTCAGATGACTGGCACCCTCTCTGGTTTATTTCCATATTTGTGTCTATGTCTGGGTGACTGAAGTTACTAGAAACCATACCATTAGATAACTGGGATATTCTGTACTGTTTATTTCCTTTTGTTATTGACATTTAGGCAGATATTAATTTGAATGGTTTGCTTGTAATTAAATTGGCCACTTAAAAAAAGCTTTTTAACACTGGAGTACATTATTCAAATTCATACATACTGGTTAAAAAGAATAGCATGTAATATAAAAAAATTCTGTCAAGTTAATTAAATTTTGTCTTTTTAGGCATCAAAGAGACCACAAAGGTCAATCTGAGGCAGAACATCAAAAGTCCAAAAAGTTAGAACACTGAAATTTAGAATTAGAAATTCATTAAAAGGTGCCAGAAATAAATCACACTCTCATAGAGACCTACATAATTAAACCACTAATAAAAGGGATGATAAACTAAAAAAAAGTTGATAAAGAAGGTGTAAAAACTTTACCACTAAATGGTGGTACACTTGATATGCAAAATGAGATGGACATCTTGTTGCTATGGTACTGATTTGTTTTGCTTGACTATACTAATGTTATAAGGGAAGCCTTCTAACTGGGAGTGATAGAGAAGAAAAAATAAGTGAAGAGAATATTAACAAGGCCTTAAAAAAATATTAAAAAAAACCCCAGAAGCTCCAAAGCAGCCATATAAGGCAATTTGTTACTACTATGGTTAAATTTAATATCCACTTAAAAACATTAGCCAACGTTTATAGTTTCATATGCAATATTCTTTATTTGTTATGTATGAGAATGAGCATGTTTGTTAAATTCATAATAAAAAATAAAACTTTACCATTATACCCGGATGTAAACAGTCAAATTACAGTCAATTTAGCTCTGAAACTAATCTTGTTTTCAAATTCTTATTGAGTAACCAGAGTAGGTAATACTATTTATCAGTCATTGATTGCTACAATGTACTTTTTTTCTCTTCCTTTCTCCTACACCCAAACCCAGCTCTACTCATGGCTTGAGACTTTTAAAACTAAACTCATATTTACTTCCTTGAAACTTAAGCCAAGTTATGAATCATGAATATGGTGAATTCAAAAAGAAGAAGGCAATACATCTCAAGCTGGTGCTTTTCGTCAACCTGAGATGTGATAAAGTCTTCAACACAAATAAAGAGGGTAGGTAACAAGGAAAAGTAATGAGCAGATGGGTATTATCAGTTTTATGGTTCCTTCTGAGTTGGGTTTTCACAAAATAAATCTATTATTTTAGTACTATTAGTTCCTATAACATCAAAAAGACATAAAGACATAAAGCAAAAGCAATGCAGATAATAATTTTGGAATTATCTCCCTAAATGCTGACTCATCTTTGTCACCATGAATAATTCTGATGGAATTCAGATGTCTATGTCAACTCATACCTTTATCATCATAGTAAATGGAGATGTCACCTGTTGCAGTGTATACAATTTCATCGAATTCAGCAGCAAGTGCAGTCTTATAGTTGTCAGGCAGTGAAGCAACTTTTTCCTTCAACACTTGGAGTACCTGGGTTTGGAAGAATCAAGCCAATAGCTTTACTGAGTTTACCAAATAAAATATGATTTCAAAAACTAAGCAGCACTTAAGAAAAAGAAAAATTATATTTTTTTTCTCATTTCTAAGTTTTATTACTGTACTGGACAATTCTCATGGCAGCAGGCCAGAAAGGCTCTAAATATTCAGGCAGATCATTCTTGACCTGAAGCTGTAATGTGCTATTTAAACATGTCAGTTAGTTCTGTTACAATTTGGCTACCTTCATCTTTGTTTTATATGTTGCAAAGAAGCAACATCAAAGATATCATCAAATGATATGGAGGTGAGCCAGTCATGTAATTCGAGTGAGAAATAATAGATATACAGCCTATGAACTCCACTAATACCCAGGCAATATTCAGAGATCTCAAGGAGCCACCCCAACATGCTAAGTGGAACTCCTGTGGAAGATTTATGGGAAGATATGGACAAGAGCTACACAGGATGGGAGGGTATGGATGACTGTGAATTTTATTAATGGAGGAAGGAAGCACATTGTTAAGATCATATATACACCAAGTTACTTTAATCTTACATGTGTTGAAAAGTCAAGAATTCACTGTTTTGACACTTCTAAAAATAATAACTATTTATATATAAATATATATATATAAATATATAAATATATATGTTATATAAATAATAACATTTATATATTGCTTTAAGGTTTGCAAAGTGCTTTACTTATGTTCTCACTTGATCTTCACAATGATCCTGTAAGAAGGTACTATGATTATCCACATTTTATAGATGAGGAAATTGAGGCTAAGGAGAGGTTAAGTGACTTGACTGGGGCCACACAGCTAGTGCTAAGGTAGGATATGAACTGTCTTTCCAATTTCAAGTCTAGCACTCTATCCCACCGCCACCTAGCTGCCAGTATATATAAATAGTAGGTATTTATTGGCTGATAAAATGTACAGCATTCTTTGGGAGTGTTTACAGAGAATATTTTGTTATACTTCAAATATATAGCATAACACAAGATCAATGTATTAGTTTCTTTTTAAAGAAGAAGGGAAAAGATTATTTTACCTCCTTGGTGACAAGTTCTTCCAGAAGATCAAATTTACACTGAGAAAGCAGTTTAGATACATGCGCAAAAGCCTTTACCAAAAAAGGAAAAAAAAATTAGATAATTCATGATATCATGAAAAGAGGCTTTCCCTCTTATACACAAGTATAAACACTATACACTGTGTATGCTAGGTAAGTCAGACATGGCTCTCTCAAAGTTTTACTCATAGAATGAAAAACAGGGGCTGAGAAAAGTTGTTAGTGCTATTCACACTTCAAAAGGATGCAAAGGTAGTGAGACTTTCACAATAATCAGAGATCTGGAAATGAGATCATCTATTCTTCCCTCCATATTTGTCAAGGGTTTGTCAATTTCCACATGGTCTAGTGGGGAGAAAAGGGAATAAGCAGTAATTTAGGACCTATTAAGTGCCAGGGATAGGTACAGGAAGTTTCTTTATGGAGAGTTGCTTACACCAATGAAATCACAATTCTTGGCCATTTTTTTTTTGGTAACTTTTCATGTGTGTGTTTCATCTTCCTAGATGAACTGTAAAGTTCTTGAAGAAATGATACTTTTTTTGTGTCCTAGCACAGTACTACATATATTCTAGATGTTCACCTTAATTCCTAAATATGGAAATATGATTCTCACATACATTTTTCTTCAAAAAGATGGCAGAATCATCCTGCCTTGACTGTAACACAATTTAGTCAAATAAGTATAAACCTGAGGGAAGTAGCTTTAGTAGAAAAGACAACTGCTAGGAAGATAGGAGAATTGGATTATTCTTCCAGCACTGTTACTAGTTAGCTAATTTTGAGACCTGAAGCTATAGCTTCTTCAGGAAAAAAAGAGGAAGGTACTGACCAGATGACCTCTTTAGTCTTTTCTATCTCTAAAATTCTATTATTCAGTGCAAAAATCCTTCATACACACCATCTTATTTAAATATCACAAATATCCTCTGATTCATGGAAATCAGGCATTATTATCTCTGCTTTACAGATTAAGAAACAGACCTGAAGGTTTATAAGACTTACAGCAAGAGTGACTAGAACCTGTTCTCTTGAGAATCAGTATTCTCTGCCAACTTTTGTTGAGTGGTCTGTTATCGATACAAGTAAGTAATAACATAAGTATCATTTATGTTTCTCTTCCTTCCTTTACCAGTTATCTCTAAATATCTTTTGTCTTCCTCCAGTTTCCATGCCTCCTGAATATGTCAGAGGCTAACCAGTGGCATTGAGTAACTCATTGGCCCAGCCAGGATTAAAGAGTAATGGCACTTTGATATCCAAAAGATTTCTAATCACTGTATAAGAAGATATAGCTGAACCATATTAACATCGAAGGCCAGTGAAGAGAACTGACTTTTCTAAGGCCACAAAAACAGTAAGTTAAGGGCTGGGATTTGAAACCAGGTCCTCTTTTGAAATATTAAGCTACTGTATTCTATGATCACTCAGGATCTTTCAGCTGCAGCTATAATTTAATGTTAAACAAATATGTGACATATATATTACTCATGTGCATGTGCTGTCTCCTCTTTTAACTCTTTTAGCTTTTTAGCACTTCCAGGACAAGGACTTGTTTTGCCTTTGTATTTATTATTCCTAGAACTTAGCGCCAAACAGGAAATGTTTATTGATAGAAGAAAGGGGAAAACAACCTTTTGAATAGACAGAGCATGACAAATTATCGAATCACTCATTTACTGTTCCAAGAATGTGAAGGATTTAAATTCTGTTTAACAACTCAATTATACTATAGCTACTACAAAGAAGACTGACAAATTCTTATATTTAAATGTTCTAAAGTTAGTCTGTCTGCTCACGACATGAGTGAGGGGCAAAACAAGTAAAAACAAGTAATACTTAACGAAGTCACCAGGCTTAAAGTCACAGGACCATTACCAAAATGTTACCCAACATAATAATGACTTGGCAAGAAAGCAGGAGAGGGAGGACAAACATCAGAAACAGTCCCTGAAATAATGAATAACCATTACAAAAGTTTCATACGATCCCTAATCCAAGTGGCTCTCATTAAAGAGTACTAAGTGGGATCACAGAATTTGGAGTTGGAGGGGTTCTCACGGATCTATTCAACTCCTTCGTAATACAAACGAGCAAAAAGACTAGCTGTGTGAACTTAGGTGAATCGTCCAAAATCACAATTACACAAAGTAAATGTTAAGTAGGCTAGACAAGTTTGTACCCAGGTACTCCGAATATAAATCCGAACGTTGGCACTGACACCCCAGACCCCGGGACCTCGGGCTGCAAAGGAGGAAGACCCCAGGGAGAGGAGAGGGGACAAACCTGCTTCGCGCCCTCGGTGAACTCGGCGATGCTGAACTCCTGGTCGAAATAGGCCCAGATGAGGAAGGAGTAGACGCGGGTGCGGAGCCACACGAGGGGGTTGAACAGCCCCAGGTACAGGACCCTGGTCTGCTGGCGCGGCGGCGGCGGCTGCGGCTGCGGCTCCTCTGTGCTGCTGTAGCTCCGCTCGGGAGGAGCGGGGCAGGGGCCGGGCCCGGGGAGAACGAAGGCGGCGGCAGCGGCGGCTGGGTAATGCTGGGCTGGGCTGAGGAGGGGGCGACGGCGGCTGAGGCGGGGGGACGCCGCTGCCCGGGCCCAGCCAGCCCCGGGGGCAGCCCAGGAGCCGAGGCTGAGGCTGAGGCTGAGGCGGCAGCGGCAGCAGTAGTCGGGGAAGGGTGGCAACGTCTCTGCGGGCCCGAACCGGGCTGGGCGGACGGCTCTGCCAGTCAGCAGCCGGGCGATCAGGGAGCGGGGCAGCTGAATGGCCAGCGCCATTTTGCCGGCCTTTCACCCCAACCAGGCCGGTGCAACCTCAAGAGCGGGCCGGACGGGAAACTCGCCAGCTTCAAACCGGGTCTGTCGGGTTTGCTTCCGGAGAGGTTCAGCCAGTCACAGCTTCGCTTCTCGGCAGCGGTGACAGAACCTCTTTTTCAATTCAGCCTTCGCCGGCTGTCGACCCCTCTCTCTAAAGACTGGCAGACACACGGACCTTCTCTCTTGCTAATCATGTTTCCGGGCGGACTGGACGGACCGGAAATGGCTTGAAGCCGGAAATGAAGTGGAGGGGGTACCTAAGAACCCGGCACTTACTTAGGTGCTATGGCGAGGCGCATCCCAGTACCTCAGCTGGAGGGCGTCACGCGCGAAGAGTTTCTGCTGCGTATTTATCCGCAGGTGAGGCTGCCAGCTGCGCGCGTTGGTCGCAGGAAGGCGCCGGTGACTTTACTCCTCCATGCCCGACTTGGGCATCTTAGCCCCTCCCGTGGGAGAAAGATGCCAGGGGCCTGAGTGACTCCGGCAGCTCCTTGCGGCGGTTCTGTTGACGAACTAATTACGTAATTATTTTTCGGTCCAAGAAGCAGCCTCACATTCTAGGTGTGATGCTGGCTGGGCAAGGCACTTCTCTGCGCCTCATTTCTCTTATTGGTAAGATGGGAAATAAAATACCACCCACCTTACAGGGTTATTGTGAAGCTAAAATGATCTACTATGTGTAAAGTGCTTTGCAGACCATAAAGCGCTGTAGAAATGTCAGCTCTGGACCCTCACGTCTCCTGGCCCTTGGCTTGCGGCTCCGGTGTAGTGGCGGCTGCTCTGGCTCCTCCTGGCGGCGGGGAGGGCGCCCTGAGGGTTTGCGAAGTTCGTATTGTCTACATCTGTGGTGCTCAGGATAGAGCGATGGATTTGGAGTAGGGCAGACCCGAGTTCAGATCCTGCTTCCTACCCTTCGTAACTGTGTGAACCTAGGCAAGACGTTTAACCGCTGTCTGCCTCAGTTTCCTCATCTGTAAAACAGACCCTAACTCTCAGAGTTGGGGTGAGGAAAAAATTAGGTGTTTCTAAAGCACTCTGACGACCTTAAAGTGCTATGTACGTGTTCGCTGTTACTATTATCTGACAGTCAGTTTCTGTATCTCATGTAGTAAGGGAGCTTAGCTTCTGTTCCTCAGGTACAAATAATTCAGGGCAGCTAGGTGGCCCAGTGGGTAGAGCACTGGGGTTCGAATCTGGAGGACTTATCTTCATGAGTTCAAATCTGGGCTCAGACGCTTGCTAGCTGGGTGAACCTAGGCAAGTCACGCAACCCTGTTTGCCCCAGTTCCTCAGCTGTAAAGTGAGTGAGCTGGACAAAGACATGGCAAACCACTCCATTGTCTTTGCCAGGAAAACCTTACCCCAAAAATGAAGTCACAAAGAGCCTGAAATAACCCAACAGGGATAGTTCACCTTCTCCCCGTCTCCACTTTCATGGTGCTTTCCCTGCAAAATTGCTTTTCATTTACTCTGTAAGCTTCTTGTAAATTGTCTCCCCGATTAGAATATGAGTTCCTTATAAGCAAGGGTCAATGTTTTTGCCTTTCTTTATATTTCCAAGGCTTAATACAGGGCCTGCCTCATAATAAAGACAAGTAAATACTTGTTGGTCGACATCTTCAGGACCAATATGCATATTTAAGTTAATGAAGCACATGTCAGTCAGTAAGCATTTATTAAGCACTTACTATGTTACCAGGCACTGTGCTAAACTTTGGGGATATAAGAAAAAAAAAAACAATTCTTGCCCATATATTCTAATTAGGGAGACAACAAGGGAAGGGGAGCCCTAGTAGCCGGGGTACCAGGGAAAAACTTCATGAAGGTGTTAGCACTTTAGTCTTTTGGTCTAAAGGAGGGAGTGCATTCCAGGATTGGAAGCAACTGGTGAGAAGACAAGGAGATTAGACATGAACTGTGTTGTTAGCAGTGGCCAATATAACTAGATCACAAGATGCCAAGAATGTGTAAGAGGACTGAAAAGGCAGGAAAAGGCCAATTTATATGAGGAGGTTTAAATGTCAAAAAGCTTTTGTTTTATTTTAGGGCAACAGGGAAACCTGGAAGTTTATAGAGTTGGGGGGAGTGCAGTTGGGAGTGTATGATCTGACCAGACCTACGCTTTAGGAAAATACCTTGGGTAGCTCTATAAAGGATGAATTGGAGGAGGGAGGAGTGAGGCAGGGAATCCAAATAGGAAACTTTAACCAGAGGAATGTCTGTACTCATGAAAAGAAGAGATATGCTGGAAATTATGGAGATAGAAGTGGCAGCTAGGTGGCACAATGGATAGATTGGCAGGCCTGGAGTTAAGAAAACTCATGTTTCTGACTTCCATTTTGGCCTCAGACATTTAGTAGCTTTGTGACCCTGGGCAAGTCACTTGACCCTGGAGAAGGAAATCTGGCGAAGGAAATGGCAAACCACTTCTTTGCCAAGAAAGCCCAGATGGGGTCACAAAGAGTCAGCCATGACTGAACAACAAATGTAGATAGAAACAAGATTTGGCAACTGATTGGATAAGTGGGAGTGAGTGAGACTGAGGAGTTGAGGGTGATACTGAAATTTCAAACTTGAATGATTCAAGAAGTACTATTATGGGGAGTTTTAACAGGAGGTGTTAGAAAAACAAGGGTCTGGATTTAAAGCTATAGTCAATCAATACACACTTATTAAGCGCCTGTTCTGTATGGGGCACTCTGCTAAGTGCTGAGGATAAAAAAAAAATGTGCAAGACAGTCTGTGCTCTCCAGGAGTTTACAACTGCAACTTAAAGAAAACAAGGGAAATTAGTCAGTAGAGGGGAGTCAGTCAATCAGCAAGCATGTATCAAGTACCCATCTGTGATAGGCACTCTGTCGCTGTTCTGTTTTGTTCTGTACAAAGAACAAAATAGTATCTATGTGACAGTAGCTTACATTCTAACAGAGAAGACAACAACTATATACCTAATAAATGCAGATAAATGCAAAGCTTTTAAGTACAAATTAGTTTGAGAAGGAGGGCACCAGCACCTGGGACGAGGAAACGCTTTACGCAGGAGGTGGTGCTCACCTGGGTCTTGAAGGGATGGGAGCTCCAGTCATAGGGTCCGAATCCAGAGCTAGAAAGGACCTCCGAGGCTGTCTTATCCAACCTCCTCACAGGTAGCAAGTGGCAGAATCAGGATTCGAACCCAAATCTTTCAAGACCAGCACTTTCACCCTTATACCATGGGGCTTCTGAGGCAGAGGTGAAGAGGGAGTTCATGCTAGGCATGTGGGACATCCAATGCAAAGGATGGGAGATGGAGTGTCCTGTATAAGGAAGAGAGAAAAGTCCAGGTTGGCTGGATAGTAGAGTATGGGAGAGAGAGTAATGTCCAGTAAGACTGCAAAGATAGGTTGAGGCCACATTATAAAGGGCTTTAAAAACTAAACAGTAATTTACATTTTAACCCAGAAGCAAAAGGGAGCCATGGGATTGAATGAGTAGGAAAATGACATGATCAGATCTCCACTTAAGAAAAGTTACTTTGGTGGTAGTGTGTAAAATGTATTAGAAGGATTAGAAACTTGGGGGAAAGAGACCGATTTGAAGGTTGTTGCAGTGATTTAGGAAAGAGGAAATGAGGGTCAGAGCTAAAGTGATAGTTGTGTGAGTAGAGAGAAGGGACAGAAACAAGAGGTGATGTGAAGGTTGACAACGGATTGGATATATGGGGTGAGGCAGAGTGAGGAGTCCAGGATTGTGCCAAGATTATGAATTTAGGAGATTAGAAAGATGATGGTACCTCTGACTGAAATAAGGAAGCTTGGAAGAGGGGATGGTTTGAAAGGAAAGATGATTTCAGTTTTGGACCCATTGAGTTTGTTATGTCTCTTATACATCCAGTTTGAAATGTCCAATAGGCAATTGGCAATAAAGGATGGAAGCTCAGGGGAGAGACTGGGGCTGGATATGTAGATCTGTGAATCATCTGCATAAAAATAATAGTTAAACCCATGGAAACTGCTGATGTTATCAAGAGAGTATAGAGAGAAAAGAGAAGAGGACATAGGACAGAATCGTGGGAGACACCTAGAGTTAAGGGGTGTGATACATGTGCACAGCCAACAAAGGATACCAAAAAGGAGCAGTTAAACAGGTAGGAGGAGAACAAGGACAGAGGAGTGTCACAAAAATCCAGAGAGAAAAAAGTGTTGAGAAGGAGAGGGTGGTCAAGAGGAAGCGAAATAAACATTTATATCTTGCCTACTGTGTGCCAGGCATTATGTTAAGCACTTTACAAATACCTCATTTGATCATCACAACAACTCATGCAGGGTAGGTAGGTTCTGTGATTATCCCCATTTTACAGTTGGGGAAACTTAGGCAAACAGAGTAAATGACTTGCCCAAGATCACACAGCTAATAAATAAGTACAGGCCTAGTGCTCTATCCGCTGCACTACTAGGTGCCTACCCAGTAGTGTCAAATGCAGCAGGTCAAGAAAGATGAAGACTGAGATAAGTCCATCAGATTTGTCAATTAAAAGATTGTTGGGTCAAAACTGGAAAAGAAGGAAAGTGAAAACAGCAGGGATAATGACCTTAGAAAATACTGAGGGGTGGAGATATTAGAGGTTTCAATGAAAGCAAAGAATGTATTTAGGAGAAATGAGGCATAGGAGGAGATGGAATCATGGGAAGTTACAGTTAGAAAGAGGAATGCTAATTAAATAAATGGAATGCTTTTGAATAATGGTGAAATCTTTTATAGGACCATCCCTACACATGACTGAGCTACAGTGATGGAGTTGGTCATGAGATTTAAGGAACCTGACGAATTGATCAGTTCGAGAATATGAGGGAACATCAATGTGATGCTTATTATAAAGGCAGGAACTGAGTAGATGAAGGTAGTGAGTAAGGTGCTACTTGAAAAATGAGAGAGAATGACCTGGGGGTTTAATAAACTACAGCCACTGTAATATGGACCAAGTGGAAGCTTTTTATTGAATGTACTTCAAAGGAGGAAAAGTTGTTGAATGATAGAGGTAAAGGTAAGTAAAGTGGTAGTGGGATCCCTTTAAAGACCAGTGTGTCTAGGGGAGTGAGAGAAGGTACAGCCAATACTGGAGAGGATGGCTAGGGGTATAGTGTTCTGGGGGAAGCCAGGTCTCAGTGAGGTTAGTACCTGGAAGGAGTATGAGCAGAAAAAGTCCATTATTAAAGGGACTTTATTCATATTAGAACAAAAATTCCAGCACAGTGGAAGGGGTGGATGAAGTTGGGATGAACATGGGTAGGGTTGAGATGATGAGGATGAGATAATGGGGTTGGGCATAGTTTCGTACAGGAAACAGGAGAAGTCATAGGGAAATAGTAGGTGACAGATGAATGGTAAAGCTCACAGTTGCAGATGTCAAGGGTTGGTCTCCATTCTACTGCTGCAGATGATCCTCCACTGGGAGAGGGCTGTAGTGGTGGATGGTGGTATGTTCCCTTCCCCACCATCTCCAAGAAAGAGAGTTTGAGTCATGCATTGTGCCCTACATATTTAGGCAGAAATGTTAGTGATACTACTTGATGATACTTAAAGTACTCTGGAGTTCCTCTCCTGAGAAATGAAAGTAGAAGTATAAAAAATTAGTATTTCATTCTTAATAAAGTACAGTAGTTATGATTGAGGTGAAAAGGTTAGCTTTAGAAAAATCTTATAATGCTGTTGCTGGAGCTTGACCTTAATTAGAATCCTAATGCTCTGCTTTTTAGCCTCTGCCTGTGACTTCACTTGCATCACCCATTATTTCTAGTACTCTCCTTGGAGCCTTCATGATCTATCCTCATCTTACTTTTACTCTTCTCTTCCATTTCATCTCTCTGTCTTGTGGCTTCTGTTTACCTAGCCTATCCTTCTTGACCTGTATTTCAGCTAATGAGAGAAGGTTGGATGTGGGCCTTAGAGAACTTTGATCTCTTTTGGACCTGTTCATCCTAATTTAATTTTTAAGTCAGATAAAAAACAATCTAGATGATGCCTCCTGGATGGATGATAACTGAATTATTTTAAATCCTGCAAAACTTAAGAACTGACCTCCCTGGCTTCCTTTAAGTTCCAACTAAAATCTCATCTTCTACAGGAATCCTTCCCCAAACCCTCTTAATTCTAGTGCCTTCCCATTGTTAATTATTTCCTATTTATCTTGCATATAGCTTGTTTTGTATATATTTGTTTACATGTTGTCTCCCCCGTTAGATTGTAAATTCCTCAAGGGCAGGGATTGTCTTTTGCCTCTTTTTGTATCTCTAGTGCTTAGCATAGTGCCTTGCACTTAATAAATATTTATTGATCAATAGCACCAAGCTATACTTAAAGCCAACAGAATCAAGACCAAGTTCTCCACCTAACCATAGAGAAAGCAGCAAGTTGTGGTGGCTAGAGTCCTGAATTTGGTGAACTGGGTTTAAATCCCCATATCTGACAAGTATTAGCTGTGTGGTGATAGGTGTGTCACAGCATTCTGAGCCTCAGTTGCCTCATTTCTATAGGAGAATAATAATAATAATGATAATAATAATAATATTGATATTGTAAATGTCTTTCTCACAGGGTTATTATGAGGCAAACATTCTGAGATTGTATCTAAAATACTTTGCAAACTTTAAAGTGCTATATAAATATCAGCTATTAGTTCTGAGGCATTTTTTTTTTTGAATGAAAAGCCATACTCAGCCGTAGAGTTATACAGTTAATAGAATTTAAATCTGGACGGGCTCTTGGAAATCATCTAATAGAGCACCTTCCATTTACAGATGAAGAAACTGAAACCCAGAGAGGGGCAACTACTTGTTGAACAGGAAATAGAACATAGGTCTTCTAACTCCAAGTATAGTACTTTTGCCAAAGCACCATTGCATGTACTCAGAATAGTTTCTGATTTTATTAAAATGCTATCTTTTTACTTTAAAATAAGAATATGGGGCACAATTGCACTTTTCCCTTGAGTTAAATAAAAGCAGCTTACTGGAAGGCAGTGTAGTAGTTTAGAGCTCAGCTCTACCAACGTTTGCTGTATGACTTTGTACAAAGCACTCAATTTGTCTGAGGCTTAGTTTCTTCTTCTATAAAATAGTTATATAATATGCCACTCTCCTGTAGGGTTGTTCTGAAGGCGCTTTGGAAAGTTATGCCCAATCTGACATACTTGATTGATACCACAAAAGCACAAGATATTAGAAGAAATGACACAAGATAGTTCCATAGGAACAATGTAATAAATGGGTGATTGGACAAATGATGTTATTGTGAAATAGTGATGGAGTTTCCCACTGGGATGGTAGAGTTTGTGATGTTAGGGCAATATTACATGGTGTGGGCCTATGAACTAAAACACTAAAAAAATTAGAGGCATTGTTATTACTCAATAAGATACTAAATTTGTTTTATATCCCCATATACCATTAATAATATCATTAAATCCTTTTTTGAACCTAATTTTTAAATGTCCTGTTTTATTTTAGTGATATTAAGCATAATACAGTTATTCATATTCTTGTTATTTTGATAATCAACAGAGAAAGCCAGTAGTGCTGAAAGGAATTGATCTTGGGACATGTACTACCAAATGGACAGTGGATTACATCAGCCAAGTGGGAGGAACTAAAGAAGTGAAAATTCATGTGTCTTCAGTTCCACAGATGGACTTCATCAGTAAGAATTTTGTGTATAGGTATTCACTTCTAAGGTTTACTGTGGGGATACAAATAACTTTGGAAAATGTTCTTAAGTATTTTTGTACTTTTTGTGTTTATTTTAATGATTAATCATATATACAAATGTGTTAGTGATTTTTCGAGGTCAAGGCTTTAAAAAAAATCTAGATTTATGTCATATAAAGATTCATTTAAAAAAAATTGAAGTACCTTTTTCATAGGATACTCTTTGATTAGATTTCTTTGAGGGAATTACCAGAATCAGTTGAAATGTACCTGGTAAAAAGTTATTTCTTCTACTTAATGACTGTTTACATTTAAACCTGGGCATGTGGTAGGCACTCAGTACTTATTGATTGTTTTTAGCCAGATGAGAATCTTTCCTTTGAAGCCAATTTCAGTTTTCTCCAATGTAGTATAATTTTTATCAGTATTCACAGTTGAAAAATAACTTCTCATACTTAACTCCTTCACATTGCCATTTAGTAGTAAGATTATATATTTAGAACTGGAAAGAACCTTAGAGATTATGTAGTTCAGTGCTTTCATTTTACATTGATTAAGGTAATAACTGACGTTTAAAAAAGTTTTTAAGAGTGCTCTGCATGATATTTCACAATAACCCTATGAAATGAGTGTTGCAAATATTATGATCTTCATTTTAAGGATGAGGGGACTGAGGCTCAGAGAAGCTGAGGGACATGTCAAAGGTCGTAACCTTGTGTTAGCTGGGACTCAAACCCAGGTCCCCCAACAAAATTTCCAAGTCCTCTGAATCTAAGGACATTCATTCTTGTTCTGTCCTTATAAAGATTATAAAATAGTCAGTTATTATTTTTATATAGTAAAAGAATAGTTATATAAGTAGTTATAGTTCAGTAGCTGACTCACTGCCTTCCTCTCCAGTATAACTATTGTCTTTTTTAGTGTGAGTCCTTCATCATACGGATAGATGTTCCCTCAAACAATTTAGCTTCCTAGTTCTTCAGTCTCCACAATTCCCCATGATCTAGTTCTCATCTGCTTTGGCTACAGAGGGGTGGTCACACCCTTGATAATTGCCATCACCTATAAATATTCCACTTTCATGATCAAGAATTCTGAAATTCCTTTTCCTAACTTCACATTATAGCGTATCTCTTCCTAAACCTATTCTTGGTCCTCACTGTGAGGACTGCTGGAAGAAGTCTCACAGCTACATTGCCTGGGTCCACCACAAGTGTATAATATCTAATATCAAATAAGCCTCACTATAGCAGGGCAAAGAATTCCTTTTACTCTTTCCTAATTGATTCTTGAGAACCATCCACAGCAGTTGTTCCAAATTTTTTCTTTTCTCCTCAAGCCTCCTGTACCATTCTTAGTGCCTTCCCCTCACAACATGAAAGTTTCAAGTACTTTTTTAAAAAAAGGAAATAAGATATACTATTATTTCTTTAATAGGATTTGCCCACCAAAAAAACCCTCCAAAAACAAACAAAAAAAACAACCTAATAACATTCCAGACCTCAGCCCATGGTCCACTTAATTCAAAGGGTATTCGTTACAACACAGTTTCTTCAAGTTTTTCTGTTGTAGTGAGATTTTGTTGTAATAAAGATCATTTAAAATCAGTGAACCATGGGCAGGAGTTTAAAAAAAAAATTAAGGGCAAATTCTGCTAAAGAAATCCCAGTAAACCTTATTTCCTAAAAAAAAAAAAAAAACATACTGAAATTATAATTGAAATAAACATTAACATTAATTAGAAGGAAAAATTAAAAGAAGTGAGGTTATTAAGAGGTGAAGAGTTTGTATCTTTTTATGTTTATGAAAAGCTACCTCAAACATTCAAGCAACAGGCAATTAAGTGTCACTTTGTGTAAGGCACTGTGCTGAGTGCTGAAGTGACAAAGGTTCTTACATTCTAACAAGAACAACAAGCAAATATAAAAATATATACAAAACAAATACAGGGTAATTCTTGTGAAGAGAAGGCACCAGTACTTAACAGCTAATAATTATAGTAATTATAATAATAATAGCTAACACTTACATAGTGCCAGGCACTGTGCTAAGCACTTTACAAATATTATCTCATTTGATCCATACTGCAATGCTGGGAGGTAGGTGCTATTATGATCCTCATTTTACAGTTGAGGAAACTAAGGCAAACAGGATTAAGTGATGTGCCCAGGGTCACACAGCTAGTAAGTGTCCCAGGGTAGATTTGAACACAGACCTTGACCTGACTTTTGAAAGAAACTAGGAATTCTAAAAAGTTTACATTCATAGTGACAAAATTTGACATCTTCCTTATAGTCTCATTTCAGATAAAGGAATTTTTCCTAATGTCTTAAACATATGTGCTTTTAGAGCCCAGGAGTCCTGGGTTCAAGTCCTAGCTCAACCATTTACTTATCCTGGGTTAGTTACCTGCTTCTATGATTTTATTTCCTTATCTGAAAAATAAGGACAATAAAACCTGTCCTTTGCCTAATAATAGCTGACTTTTACATAGTCTTTTAAGATTTATATAGCTGTATCCATATCCATACACACACACACACACACACACACACACACACACGCATATAGACATGCATATAGACACACACAAACATACACACACCACAAACACACAGGTTTTTTTTTTGTTTATTTGTTTGTTTTGTTTCATGGGTTCATAAAATTATAGACTTAGAGTTGGAAGAGACCTCAGAGTGAGGGTCATAGGTGGATACCAGAAAATTTCAACACGAATCAAGGGTATCCTTGATGAGGCTATTAGAAAAGAATAGACAAACTTTACAGGTGGTATTCTACATACAGACTACATCTTGCCATTATGTAGACTGAAAGATGTAGAAAATACAAGATTCTAATGTTCTTGTTTATTGACTATAAAAAAAAACCAAACAGTGATTGATAGAGTAAAGTGTTGCCTTAAAGAGTCTTCTCTGAATAGGTTTCTCCTGAGCTTATGTCAAAATTATGCAAAGTTACTTAAAATATATAACAATTAAGATAACCTTGTTTGACCTATTGATAATATCAAGTAAGGCATAAAACATATGGTCACCAAAGATAATCCCCACTGTCAGGGAGGAGATCTAGCCCAGAATCCAAGTTGAGAAGGCATTCCCTTTAGATGACGAGTTCTTTAAGATATTCCTGTTTATCCATGACATTGTACTGACCATATCAAGTCCTAGTATACATTTATAATCTAAAGTAGGAAACATGTAGTATTTCCTAAATGACTACTTAAAAGAGCTTGGACTAATTATCCCCACTAGAAAAACCAAGTGGATGAAAATGCCTTTTTTCTCTAGACTGTGAAATGGAATTAGATACACAACTTGTGTGTGGCTTTGTATGTGTCTGTGTGGAGAGATATTGCAAATGGATGATGAGTTTTGCCCAGAATTGAACAGGAGGATGAGTGGGCTGGATTGTTTTTGATAAACTGTAGTTTTTCTAATGGTCTCAAGCTTCTCCACAAAACAAAAGCCTCTCTTTTTAATACCTCTAGTGTTCTGGTGATATTGTTTGACTATAAGCACCTGAAGAGCTGAATTTGATGATCACCCAAAGGTCAGTGGAATGAACAATATGGGTGTGAGCAGGCTGTAATATATTGTTGTGTTCATTCCTTTTAGTCGTGTCTGACGCTTTATGACCCTATTGGGGGTTTTCTTGGCAAAGATACTGGAGTGGTTTGCCATTTCTTTCTCCAGGTCATTTTATAGATGAGGAAACTGAGACAAACAGGGTTCAGTGACTCGCCCAGAGTAACACAGCTAGTAAGTGTCTGAGGCCAGATTTCAACTTAGAAAGATCAGTCTTCCTGACTGCAGGCCCAGCACTCTATCCACTGTACCACCTAGCTGCCCTGTAATATATTACAAACAAGAAATAACACAAAGGAAACCATGAAAGGAATGTATGATTAAAAAAATTAAGTAAGACATATGGTGAAAATGAGAGATAATTGATAGATAAGTAAGAGATTACCTCATGCTATCTGCAGACAGCAAGGAAATTGGCATGCTGGGTGGATCCCCTGTGGTGAACTTAGGGGATGACATGGACAAAAGTATCACTGGATAGGCAGGGATATATAGGTTATTACATGCCTTATTGGAGGAAATACCCACATAACTGTTATGTTCGAAAATTAAGGTAAACTGAGAGACAAGATTCCGAGCATGAACAATTTATTAATTAGACTAGCAATAACCAACAAATTGGGTCAATGGCCTTCTCTCAATGACCAAAGTGAGGGCTGACAGGATCTTTTAAGACTAGATGGGTCTTGCTTCTGATTGGCTTTACAGTATATCATTTGGACCTTCCCTGACAAAGGTAAGGCAATCCTGATTGGTAGAAGTGTTAATGTTCAGAAAATGGAAAATAGACCTCAGATAAAGGATTAGGCTGCTGACCTAGGGAGTAATCTTGCACAGCTTCAACCCTGAGGCTACCTGAGTATGATGTGGAAGTAATTACAAGACAAAAGCTTAACGTTTAGTCAAGTTTCTCCAGAATGCTGGTGAAGGATAAAGTTACTAGGGTAAGGAGTTTATGTGGGAGATTATTAAACCTTTGCCAGATTGACTTATGTCTTAAAAATAGAATTAAAATCAATTTTCAATTTTACATTATCTCAGATGCATTGTAGGATTGGACTGTGCTTACTGTGCCTTCAGATGTTTTCCTGGCCTGGCAACAGGGGAGAAAACCGGTACTGAATTATTTTCTATATACCATGGAAAGAGTATTTTAAAGTACAGCCCTTCACTTATTATTAAAAGAAAGTTGTCTTGGTAATAGAAGTTTTGTAAATTTTTTAGTCATTAAAAAGTTGAAGGAATTCGTTTCATATCATTTTATTGATATTTCTCTTATTTTGCACAGGCAAATTCTGCTAAATATCCAAACTTGGAAGCTTTAAGTGCTGTCATGAGATAGATTCAGCATGGTATTTATGTCCATGGATTTCATTAACAATGTCAGGTTCAAAAATACACAAACTCAGAATTCTGAGCATGTGCAGTTCCTGGGCTCCTGAAATACCATGCAGGTTCATCAAGACTTTGGTTTACAGACAGTCAAACAGAGCTTCTAATGTCCTGAGCCATTCCTTTCTCATTAAAGGTTTAGGCTGCCAAAGAAAGCATTTTTCAATCCCTGGTGCCTTTGAATTTCTCACCATTATGGTTTTCATCTATAATAGAGCACAAATTGGATTTAATTGCTGTAAGCTTCTCTAAGAAACAGTAAGCACTGTTCACTTCTCATTAGTTTAAAGGAGTAAAAAAAACCCTTCTGGAATGATGAATGTTAATGATGTTTGTTTTCAAGAGGGGTAAATGCCAAAAATATAATCACATGGTGTTTGAACATCATTTTGAATTATGTTCACCCCTTGTCAGATCTTTTAAGCCGATTAGAATTTGTTCTAAAACCATGTAAAATCCTGAGTTTTCTTTTTTATCTTGTATGACTTTTTATGTAGTCATACACAGTACAACTAAGTCTTGATTATCCATTATAATAAAGCATAGATAATGAAATTATCCAGTAATTAAAATAATAATTTTGACAATAGTGATTATGGCAATGAGTGCACTGGACATGCTGTTTTTTGATGTGGTTTTGTTGTTGTCTTATAAATTGTTGAACACTAATGTGTCTGAGTGCACGACAGGATAATGATGCACTCAGGTGGACATGCTGGGAACTACATGAAACCCCAACTCACTTGGATGGAGCCACACATGGAAAAGCTTTTTTAAAACATTTAAGTTCAAGGAAGGGGTAGATGAGAAGAATCTAAGGAATTTCCTGAGTAGTTTACCTTTTCTGTTTCCTAGGATTCATCTCCTATGGAAGATTTTCCAGGTCTCATTCCACTTAGTGAGTAGAATATTCCACCTGGAAATACAAAGTCACTGCTTCCTCAGGTCTGAGCCACTGTTGATGGTTTTTCTTTACAATCACCCTGCATTGTCGTTTGGACTCTTCAGCAGTCAATGCACATGTAGCCACTATTCTCTTTGGGGAGACAAATTAGTGTCATTACAGAGCCTGGTTCAGGCTATTGCAGAGGAAGTGGGAAGTAGCAGTCTGTGTATTAGTCTGTAGATTGGTTTCTCTGCCCTGTCACAATAACAAAAGGGGATCTTCATCTTCATTAAACATCCATTTTCCACCAACCACCTAGTACCACTTGTCATGCAATCACCACTGGGCTTTTTTCATTGCAGAAAAAGAAATAGAGCCATGACCTGGAAACATACACATTTTTAGTAGTGAGCTGTTCCTTAAGTAGATAAATTGGAAGAGGAGGAGAAAGAAAGATGAAATAGAAGAATTAGTTGATTCATGGTTCCAAAGTCTAGGGTGACGTGACCCATATTAGTTGTCTGATTTAAGTTCAAGATTCTCTATACTGAATTGCTTACATATAGTTAATTAAGGTTTTACTTATTTTTGTATTTTTTGTATCTTAAACTATGGTGTACCTTAAAATAGAAGACATTAATATTTAAAATCCTATCATTATAGCTCCTAGATTATTAGTTCTTTAATTTCAAGTGTTCTTTTGTATGTATTTCAGAACTTTGCCTTTTGACAAGTTTATACACAGGGCAGCAGAAAACAAGCACACGGAGTTCTTTATTTCAGAGGTAATTGCTTTCAAACCAGTTTCATTATCATGTAGTGGTATTTATATACTGAGAGAACTGATTTTAAAACATTGCTTAGTGTAGTTAAACAGTAGTCTACTTTTTCAACTTATATTTTACTCACTGACTCTTTATTGGTTATAGTCCAGGGGTGGGGAACCTTCAGCATCCAAGCCACATGTGACCCTCTAGGTCATCAAATACGGCCGTTTGACTGAATCCAAACTTTTGTATTTTGAGATTTATGTGGTCGAGGGTATTCTAAAATTCTTAATAAAATGTCAAGTATCAATTTTTTAAAAATTATTTTAACTATAATCAATCAATATTAAGCTCTTACTATGTGCCAGGCATTGTGCTAAGTACTGGGGATATAAAAAAAGAGAAAAATACAAATTTTTTTTTTCTTTCTGATGTGTCATTAGCATTTTAAATGTGTTAATAATACTTTGATACAATACTATGTAATAGAAATGGAATTTTTTGTGATACTACTGAAGTGGTTAATGACTTGTGGTTTCTATCTCTAAATGAAATAAAGTGAGTTTTATCCTACTTTGATTCCTTTGATGAGTTTCTTTTACTTAATGTTACCTTCACTCATTCATTAGCATGATTTGGTTTTTATTTTTCTTCAAATAGCCACCAGAGAGCATTAGTAGAAAGGGTAAGAGTAAAATTACTGAACTTGTAAAAGCTCTTTGACTAGATTGTTTTAAAGAGAGCCTGATAAAATAACTTCTTTATTTTCTAATTCATGTGTATTTGAAAATTAATATTTGTGTCATTTCTTTTCTGGGGGTATCTGTTAAGGATGAGAAGTACTACTTGAGATCACTTGGTGAAGATCCTAGAAAGGTGAGAATTTCAGTACCAAAGCAGCAATTCATTCAATAATTCAGCAGTATTCATTAAAAAAGTGTTGTGCTGGGCTAGAGACAGGGGAAGATGGAAAGTTTATATTGGTTCATTCCTTTCCCTCATGAATCTTTTAGTCCAGAAAGGAACAACACAAATATAGAAACCATATTACACAATGTTGCATGGTAGGTTGATCGAGTTGAAAAAGTGCATTTTTAAAAGGTCTTAAGGGAGATTGTGACTAACCTGGGAAGGCTTGGAGGGAGGGTTGGCATTTGAACGGGATACATAGGAATTCATCAGGTGAAGAAGAAAGCAGGGCAGGGATAAGGAGCAGGCTAAACAAAGGCACCAAAGTGACAGAGCACATAGCACATTCAGCAGATAGAAAGTAGACTAGTTTATCTAGAATATAATGTTTGAGGCAAACTGAGGCAATTAGACGAGGCTATTAGAAGGCTAGAGGGCTGGGGGGAGATCATGGGGCTAGGGGTGGGGAGGGCTTAATTTCAGGAAAGGGGGTAGGAGCCTTACTTTCTAGGCAACACTAAACCACTGAAGATTTGATCTAAGCGTTAACAAAGAGGTTTTATAAATGTTGACAAGCCTTGTTTTTTATGTTAAAATTTTTGTACAATCTGATAAACTTTTTTTCTTCCTTGTCTCATATTACTTTGTTTAGAAAAAAATTCTAAACCCAGACTGTGCCCTTGAGGAGCATTATATTGGACTGCATATTAAAGACATACACAAAATAAAACAGAGTGAAGCAGGGAAGGGCAGCTAGATGGCACAGTGGATAGGGCACCAGGCCTGGAGTCAGAAAGACTCTTCTTCCCAAGTTCAAATCTGGCCTCAGACACTTACTAGCTCTGTGACCCTGGGCAAGTCACTTAACCCTGTTTCCCTCAGTTTCCTCTTCTATAAAGTGAGCTGGAGAAGGAAATGGCAAACCACCCTAGTATCTCTGCCAAGAAAATCCCAAATGAGGTCACGAAGAGTTGGACACAAGTGAAAATGACTGACATGAAGCAGGGGGAAGTACTAGCAACTATGAGGAACAGAAAAGGCATCATGTAGAAGGTAGCCCTTGGGTCTTGAAGGAAACTAGATATTCTAAGAGACAAAAATAAGGAGGGAATACAGTTCTGGCGTGGTGGGCAGCTAGTGCAAGAGCACATAGGGACAGATAGGAGGTAGAGTCTATCCCTGGCTCCCTGGGATTCTGTAAACTTCAGGGTCCTGACCACAGAGAATTCTCCGTTGCACCTCCCCTTTCCTGCCTATCTAAATAGTACATAGAGGGAACTTATTATGTAGGATCATAGGGAAGTGTATGGTGGCAGGGGAGAGGGTTAAAATAACAGATATAAAGTGTAAGTTTCACAAGTTAGAAAGATTCAGATAGTATAGTTGTGGTCTTCAACATCAGTGTTTTTAACCTCGACATAACTTAGTTTTAACTCCACTGCTGAAGGAAGATTCAGCTCAGATTGTTGGTCCTAATCTCTAGAATCTGCTTCTTCAGCCTTCAGATAGGTAACCGGGAAGTCTGGGGCATATAACCCAGATTTTTTTTTCCTCCCTTATTTGATCAAGATCAGGAATACCTTCCCCTCAGTTCTGGCTAAGCCTTCGGAAAGTATTCTCTCCCTGCCCCAGACTCTCAGCAATTAAGGACTCTTTCCTCTCCGGACTCCAAAATTCTGAGTTGAGCCTCAGCTACTTTACCTTTCATGCTATGACCCCAACTTTGGAAGTCATTCTTATGCCTTGCTCTATCTTTCATCTGACCAGCCCTCTGAAACAGATTCTACTTTTCACATCTTTCTGCCCAATCAAACCCTTGATGTTAAAAATCATCTCTTCTACCTGCCAAATGAGCATGTGGCTAAGACCCATGCAGGCCTCATACAGATTTTATTCTCCATGTCTTTACTGCTTGTTGGCTCCTTCTTCTAAATAAAATGATTTACCTAGTTCTATACTTTTGAGCTCCCAGAAATCCCTCCTACAACTAATTCTTTCTTTTTTCCCTTTAATTTATTTTGAACTATCAACAATCACATCCATAAGCTTTTGAGTTTTAAATTTTTCTCCCCCTCCCTCCCCACGTCCCTCCCCAAGACAGCATGCAATCTGATATAGGCTATACATATACATTCCTATTAAACATATTTTCACATTAGTGATGTTGTAAGGAATAATTAGATCTAATAGAAGGAACCACCAGAAAGAGGAAACAAAACAACAGAAGAAATGGTATGCTTCGATCTGCATTCAAACTCCATAGTTATTTCTTTGGATGTAGATAGCATTTTCCATCATGAGGCCTTTGGAGATGTCTTAGATCCTTGTATTGCTAGAGAAGGGTTAAGTCTATCAATATTAGTGGTCATACAATGTGGCTGTTACTGTGTACAACGTTCTCCTGTTCTGTTCACTTTACTCAACATCAGATCATACAAGTCTTTCCAGGTTTTTCTGAAGTCATCCTGTTCGTCATTTCTTATAGCACAATAGTATTCCATTACATTCATATACCACAGCTTGTTCAGCCATTCCCCAATTGATGGGTATCCTCTCAATTTCCAATTCTTTGCCACAACAAAAAGAGCTGCTATAAATATTTTTGTACATGTGGGTCCTTTTCCCATTTGTATGATCTCTTTGGGATATAGCCCTAGAAGTGCTATTGCTGGGTCAAAGGGTTCCTACAACTAAGTCTTAAAGAGTAATCAATTGGGGCAGCTAGGTGGCACAGTGGATAGAGCACCAGTCCTGGAGTCAGGAGTATCTGAGTTCAAATCTGGCCTCAGATACATAATACTAGCTGTGTGACCCTGGGCAAGTCACTTAATCCCATTGCCTCGGCCACCCCCCCCCAAAAAAAGTAATCAATTTAGCATAATTCTTCAACTGAAGAAGCAAAATTTAAATCTGGCATATACTACAATTAAATTTTGCTTCTTCAGTTGAAGAATTGTATTAATATATTTGGACACACCCTAAATAGTTCATTGTAGTAGGCTTTGACTTGTATTTATGGGCAGATTACCTCTTGTGATCACTAGCAAATGGCTTCTAAGGGAATTATTGGCTGTACTACACCACCTCTATTCTATGTCTTCCTTGAAGGGCCCCATTTACTTTTAGCATAGGAAAATATTACTTTGATACAACAGCAGTCAAGGTATCTGATAGATTTCAACAGAGTATCTAGAAATGCTCAAAATGGGCATTTTTAAGTTTACAATTCAACATTCCCATTAGCACTGATATCTGGAGTATTCAAGCTGTTTTAGGGTGAGAGATTGTAGATTTCTGTCTTTGGCCCAGGCCTGTGATTTCATAGGTATAGGAAACTCCCAATAAGAAATCTCCCTCTAAGGGGAAGCTAAGTGGCGCAGTAGATAGAGCAAAGGCCTTGAAGTCAGGAGGACTTGAGTTCAAACCCGGCCTCAGACACATAACACTCACTAGCTGTGTGTCTCTGGGCAAGTCACTTAACCCCAACTGCCTCACCAAAAAAAAAAAAAAAAAAAGAAATCTCCCTCTACCAATACAGATTGGTACCTGCTCCATATATAACATGCATATATACACTCATACATTTAGCCTGTAGCAATGCAAAGACCCCCAGAACTCTTGACTCATTCTGGCATCATTTACTATCCACGTCACCACGTTCAGAAGTACCATTCTGGTCCTGTTACAGGCTGCTCTATAAATAAATGCCAAACTCCCCAAAATGAGATTAAAAATACACAGGCATGTACTGAAAAATAATAGTTATTATAAGCCACATTTAGGTTTTTGATAAACCAAACCTGAGGGGAAAGTGTGGCTTACATTTGGATCTATATGGCAATAGACTTAGGAAACCTAAGATGCTATGGATGTTTTGGTTTAAAACTACACTTATTATGAAGTGGTAATTTTACATTTTTTAAAAATAAAAATAAAAGTTATAACAATAGGACATTTGGCAAGTGTTTCATGAGGGAAGACAAGCTGAACTACATCAGTTTCTTCTCCCTGGGAGAGCTATTGTGCTGAGTCATCTAATATTTTCCAAGTACCCACAAAGTACTCAGTTCCATTCAGATACACACATAAAGAAATGAAGCCATGATCTTACTCTTTGTGAACCTAGTCTTAAGTAGTAAGACATACATGAGTTAAAGTTTTTGTTATCAGTTCATATTTTTTGTGTTTGCAAGTCTGTTTTTAGGGATTTATTTAGAATCGCTAGAGAATCCATTTTCTGCTTTTACTTATTCTGAGACACATATTTCTTGAAAAAATAATATTTAATTTTTTTTTGCCAGCTAGGGACTGGGATGTTATTTCATTTTTGGTTAAGAAAGGGGAAAAATGTAAAATTGAAGGAAAGGGGTAGATATAAAGATTATTAAAACATGGTCCGTGTCATAATTTAACTTACATTCTCTACAGTTAATAGAAGGTTTAACTGACCACTGACCAAAGTGAGTTTTGATTTATTGAGGATTTTAATTGACTATTTTTATTTATATAAATATAAATATTTATATCTCTGATTGTCTGAAAAATTAAGAAATGATTTCATTGGCTAAACCTTTTAGCTGTTTTGACTAAAATTCCCTTTCTTGAGTCTCACCAAAAGAGATTTATCTTTATAACTCCCAGACTGAAAGAATAAAATTTGGTCTACCATTCAAGGAGAGTTCTAGTTATCTGCTCTCCATTGGTACTGAGGACAGAATAAGAGTTCTATTAAGCCAGAGTGTAGGATTGATTTCTTTACAAATTGTTAAAATTAGAAGAGGGCTATGGAGAGGTTTTGCAATATACTTACCCAAGAGATGCAAAGTTCATCGAATATAGTATTTTTGTATACATCTTATAACCATTCTCTTCTTTTATAACCCCTCACATAATTTGTAGTTCTGCTTCTCTGACTGTAGTTTAGAAAGTAACTTTCTTGGGGCAGTTGGGTGGCACAGTGGATAGAGCGCCGGCCCTGAAGTCAGGAGGACCTGAGCCCTGAAGTCAGGAGGACCTGAGTTCAAATCTGGCCTCAGACCAAACACTTGACACTTATTAGCTGTGTGACCCTGGGCAAGTCACTTAACCCCAATTGCCTAAAAAAACAAACAACAAAAAAAAGAAAGTAACTTTATTTTTCATCATCTTCTATGATTTATTCACCACTTTCAGCCAGTGGTTGTTGAGTTTCAGCCAGCTTCTCTCCCCTTGTGTAAAAGTTTTCCTGTTCATCTTACTAACTGAGCATTGTCACCTAGTGATTGGATTCCCAGAAAAACTGGGGGCTGGCTGTATTTCTAAAGTCAGTCCATCAGAGGTGATTTTGATGATTCAATTCAATAGGTGTTTAGTGCCTCATGTGTAGTAAGGGCTGAGTGATAGACAGATGCTATGCCAGCTTTGTTCTCAAGGAGCTTGTGATTTAATGATGAGGAAAGGACAAGTCAAAGTGGAGGTGACATTTTAGGTGAGCTTTGAAGAAAAGGAGATACTTAACAGACTGAGAGGCAATGATTCTGACTGGTGCAAGCAAAAGAAGACTGGAGAGGGCAGGATGAGAACTGAGACAGACAAAATTGTATGGCTAGAATGTAGAATACATGAAGGGGAGTAGTATGAGGGAGGGCTTTGAATGCCAATTAGCAATTTATATCTTATTCTGGAAATCCACTGAAGGTTCTTGAGTTGAGGAATGACGTGATCATAGTGGCTTGTTAGGTAGATTATTAAAATAACTCTGGGGAGAATGGATTGAAAAAGAGATAGGTTAAGTGCATGAAGGACCAGTTAGGAGATACCAATAGTCATTAGGTTGCAATACGAGTAGGGAGGAAGGGCTGGATATGGAAGGATGTGGAGGTAGAACCAAAAGATTTGTAAATTGATGAGATATGTGTGGTGAGGGAGGGGAAGGCTAAAGATAACTGCAAGGATATAAATCTGAGAGATGGTTGGTGCCATTAGCATATCAAGGGTGGGGAACCTGTGGCCTTCTAGGTCCTTGGGTGTGGCCTTTTGACTGAGTCCAAATTTTACAGAACAAATCCTTTTACTAAGGGATTTGTTCTGTGAAGTTTGGATTCAGTCAAAGGGCCACACTTGAGGGCCTAGAAGGCCACATGTGGCCTTGAGGCTGCAGGTTCCCCACCCCTGGCCTAAATAGAAAAATCAGGGAAAGGAATAGATTTAGGAAAGATGTGGTAAGCACTATTTTAAACATACTGAGGACATCCCAGTGGAGATATCCAGCCAGCAACTGTAAAAATGTTGTACTGGAACTCTGGGGAGATGTTGGGCATAGAGATACAGATTTGGGAGTCATCTGCATAATACTTCATTATACATGAAGCCATGGGAATAGAGGGGATAATCAAGGGAAACACTGTAAAGGAGAGAAGAGAGGAGGCCTAGGACAGAACCCTTAAGGGGTTTAAAGGACAAGAAGAGGATGACAAAGGAGTGGAGGTAGTGAGGATGAGAACATGGGGAAAAAAATTCCTGGGTTTGGTGATAGGAAGCCAAATTAGTGATCTTGAAAATATTCAGTGAAGTGCTTTGATCAAGAGTAATTCTCTAGATATAGCAGTAGTTGAGTTTGCTAAAAAAAAGTTTTTGGAAAGTAAGAGGGGGTAGAACATAGAGTTTATAAGATTAAACATCTGTTTACAGTTGAAGAAGCTTATATAATGCTTGCTTATTAGGAAGATTTCTGAAATCTTATAATAGAATTTATCTAGTTAAAAAAAGCAATACTAGAGAAATTGAAATATTTAAATTTTCTATCCTAATTAAGTATGCAATTTTACAGATAGCTTAAAAAATCATAATCATATCGTAAGGTATTTTATGTTAGTCTACAAGGCATTAATTTTTTCTTTTCTAACATCTGTCTCAATTCAGGATATTGCAGATATCAGAAAACAATTTCCTTTATTAGAAGGAGATATCAAGATTCCAGAATTCTTTGAAAAGGAACAGTTCTTTTCTAGTGTCTTTCGTATTAGTTCACCAGGATTACAGCTTTGGACTCACTATGACGTATGTATACAACTTAAATATGAAATCTAAAATTAATGGCAATCCACCATGGTACACCAAATACTAATTTGTATAGTTAATTCATTCACTTTATTAGATGTTCCTCATCTAAAAATAATCAGAAAATAGAAAAATCTGATGGTGGGTTTTTGTTTGTTTTTGTTTTTTATAATTTGGTAGAGCTGAGTGGAAACAGGACGTGAGGCAATTTATCATGCAGTAGTTTTGCAAAAGGTGTTAGAGTCAAACTTAAAATTTCTACAGTATAAAGGAATAGAATTTTCTGCCTCACATCACTGTTTTAAATTCACCTTACAGATTTCTCATGTGGATTTCAGCATTCTGCAGTGACATAGGACAGACTAATATCTAGATTTTTATATTTTAAAGATTTTATAAGAACAAGAGTCACTTATCTTTCAAGCAGTCATAGGTTTTTCTTTATATGTCAAGGAAATGGCTTTGTCCTTAGCTGCAGTAGTGGGAAAATGATGCAGTTTCTGATTATTAAAAGTGTTTCAAATAATTGCAGTATACTTGTGAATTTGTTTTAAATCTTTATAGCCAGACTAAATATTTACCTGAATGTAAAAGGCAATGTATAACTTTATTTAAATTTGAAGTAAAAATTTGGGAAATTTAAGTTATATTACTAGAGTACTGCAAAATGTATAATTAAGCACTTGTGGATGAAAAGAGTAATGTTCCTGAAAGAGAAATGGTTAGGTAGAGGTGATATATATTATTTATATTGTGGGTTTCTCTTTTTGGTTTAAAAAAAAATCCTTTAGTGGGCAAATGTATCACTCTGCATGTTAGTATTTTTAATAATTCATACCAAAAAAGTAGTAACTTGGATCAACAGGAAACTGCAAATTAGTTTCATTAATAATTGCATTGATGAGTTTTCCAGATTGATTTCATGTAGAAGGAATTTAGAAACCCATTCTACTTATTTAAAGAAAGTAAAGGCAGATTACCTATGTATAATAAAACTCAACAGCGCTTACTAAAAAAAAACTTGCTTTCTACTGTATATTCTTTGAATTTGTCAGCCCTCTTTTGTCTCCTAGGTATGTAGAGTTGGTATTAATTACCCCACATTTTATAAATAGAAAAACTGAGTCCACAGAGAAGTTGACTAAGTACTATGTTATAGGTTATCCAAAGATGAAGTGAAGACTACAGTCTACATCTTTGGGGTTCCAGCCTGTTGATTCTGTAGTCTCCTGCTTCTAGGCCATTGCTTTTTTTCACCAGAACATTATGCAAAAATACCACAGATGGTTATAGGAACCATTGTGTCCTAAATACAAATTCACCTATCCTGTTTTTGTTAGATTGGGACAGCAGCATAAGAATTTTAGATATTTTGAAACATGGATAAAAGAGAACTTTGGGCTAAAGACTAGTACTTGGAATGAATTCTTGATTTGATTATTGAAATCCTGTTAGTCCCAGATTTTTATTTTATTTTTTGTATTTTAAGAAATTACTGATAGTGCTTATTGACTTTTAGGTTATGGATAATTTCTTAATCCAAGTGACAGGAAAAAAACGTGTTGTGTTGTTCAGTCCTCGAGATGCCCAGTATTTGTATTTATCGGGTATGTATTCTATTATACTTTAAACCAACATTTTTGCTGTCTAGTTTATTCAGTTATATTTCTTTAGAGATCTGAATTTGCATTTCAATAGAAAAAATCTTGGAGCTTCCTTCTAATTATGATTCATTGTATTCTCCTTTGTGTAAGAGTATATGTATAATGATAGACTATATGAAGAACTAGATTATTGGATTCATACTTTAATTATGTTACATCAGCTTCAGTGGATATAATGGGAGGGTAGGTCATTGAAAATTGTCTTAGGTTTCAGCAGAATAGTAACTGTTCTCCCAACGTGAACGTAATAATTGTACCATGTAGTAGAGAACACATTTTCAAACTTGTATTGGTGATTGCTTTAAAATAAAAAACCACAACTTTGTTAAGTCTGTATTATCTTTTTTGTAACTTTTCAGGTACTAAATCAGAGGTGCTGAATCTGGATAACCCAGATCTGAATAAATATCCACTATTTTTCAAAGCCAGGAGGTTCGAATGTGTCCTTGAAGCAGGAGATGTATTGTTCATTCCTGGTAAGATTTCTGAAATTCACTAACATGCTATTTATAAACACTCAAGAGTGTCCATCACTCTTGGTATTCATTTACAGTATAAAATTATATCTTATGCTATATTTCCTAGATAATTGACAGCAAGACAGAGCCTTCCAAAATTATTGTCTCATTTTTGAGAGACTAGCTTAATTTAAATATATATAACTAAAAGTATTTCATCATCTAATAAAAGAATATATACAGCTGTCTCTAGCAGCTTAGTAAAACTGTAGGAAAATGCTTTGATTTTTTAAAATCATGTAGTCTACAAATTTTCTGCATAGTCTATGAATATAACTTATTTACCAACAATTTTTATAAATCTTACTTATAGAGGAAATTAGTCAAAGATCATGAATACTCTTATATTCATAATGTTGGTGTTTTCTAATCATAACATTCCTGGTATCTTTGGCATGCATTATTTTTGTGGATTGAGTAGTTCTCATTTCTTTGTACAGTAAATAAGCTTTAATTTTAAAATCCATACCATCATGTACTTGGTGAGTAATATAATCTAATTAATAACATCTATAATTAATCCTAAAATTTTTTAACTCAAAAAAATTATACACATAGTTGAAACCAAAATTCAGCTGAATTAATAGCTGAATTAATCGTACACGAAAAGCATTTTTGGTGACTATCTTATCTATATGCATGCACACACATGTAAAGATGCAGTATAACCAAAAATTTAAACGTCTGTGATGGTTTAGTTACAGGCTTCATGTTTTAACTTTCATTTGGCAACACTTTTATTTCATAATTTCCTCAGTATTCATAACACAATTTAAAAAGAAAAAATTTATTTCCCCTTATTTTGAACATTGAACTTTGACCCACTTATTTATTTTTTGCATGTTATGTATTTTGTGCTATTTACATCTTTTGGTGTAACAAAATAGTGTTTACAAGTAACATTGACAAAATCATTATTGTGCTTTTTTAAAAGAGCTCTTGAGGGTGAGTTCCCAAGTTTTTCTCTCATACTCAATTTTATATTATTAAAATATATTTTATCATAATTATTTTTATAATTGTAATTGTTAGGATACTGCTGTAGCATTTTATAGCACTTTAATGCTGAGAGTTTTTAAGGCTCAATTGAAATTCCAGCAGCTAACCTCATATCCGTTTGGTGGAGGAACAGGCTGCTAAAAATGCTTTAGTCATAAGACTGTAATGAAATTTCATTCATCCTCTCCACCCCACAAAAATTTTACTTTACCATTGGTTTTTATTTTAAATGATCTAAAAGCAGTAGGACAATTATAATTGCAACAGAAATATAAAACTGAGAAGGGTACTTTAAATGCTAATTTAACCAGGTTACAAAAAACAAATTACAGCTGAAACAGGAAATCTTTGAGAACAAAAGTAGATTGCTATACTGAATCTGAGGTCAGAGATACTCTTCAAATAATGCAGATGTCCTGTCTATGAAAAGTAGGAGCTTTGATGTGGTTGCAAGACTGGAGAAATGTAAACAAGTAACACAAACCACAGGCCCAAATTGCAGAACTACAAAACAAATATAACTTTATTATGCCTTTCAAGTTAAAAGGATAATTTGCTTTTGCCAAAGGTTTGGAAAGTAAGGACTGTGCCATTGACACTTTAAATTGGTTGGCATTCCACAAAAGTTAACGTGATTCTATTAAAGGCTGTGAGTGTGCTAACGAAGGAAGCTTGATATGGGAATTATTTCTTACATTGGCTACATTCAGTTTGTGATATTTCACTGACATTTTGTGTTTTTTTTTTAAACTGCAAGTTTATTTTTAACTTATTTTTTTTTAACTTTCTCCAGCTTTATGGTTCCATAATGTGATTTCAGAAGAGTTTGGAGTAGGAGTGAATGTTTTTTGGAAGCACCTTTCTTCTGAGTGCTATGATAAGACAGACACCTATGGAAACAAAGATCCTATAGCAGCCTCAAGAGCTATACAGATTTTGGACAGAGCCTTAAAAACACTTGATGAACTACCAGAGGAGTATAGGGATTTTTATGCACGACGAATGGTCTTACGAATTCAAGACAAAGCTTTTAGCTCTAACTATGAATAGATAGTGCACTAAAATAAACTGCTTAGAAAATTCACATACATTGTACAGAAAAATTAAATAAAAATTATTTTTAAAATTTGTATAAGGTTGATTATTCTTTTAAAATAGAGAAGTGCCATAGTTTGCTTATTGGAACAACTATCAGGGATTGTTAAACTGTGTTAAGAATGGTAGAAAGGAGTTAGGTGATGGCTTTATCATTTAGTTCTATGTCTTGAGGCAAGTCTTCTAACATCTGGGCTTCATTTTCCTTATCTGCAAAATATGGTTATTGAATAAATGATCTCTAAAGTCTTTTAACATCTTTAAAGGAACATTTTTATGATTTATCTGAGTAGATTATACAGTTTGGGTTCTACTCAGGGTGAGTGTCCCAGGTGAGGTTAAAATCCCTTCTACCTACCATTGTTTAGGGATGCTTCTCTGCAATCTGTTTTGCCATGCTGAGATTTAGATCAGCCTTACCTAATGAAATTAGGTAAGTAAATAAGCTTGGGCAAAGAAAAAATTATGTAATGTATCCCAGATTCCAACATAAATGACTGTTTATTAGACTGTTGATAATAGACATGACAGAACTTTAGAGCTGAAGTAGAGTTTTAAGATCAAGCTAATCTAACTTCATTTTAAATGAGGAAACTGAGGTTCAGAGAAGGTCCTATATAAAGAAGAGGTAAAATAGGAATTGAAACACCATATTTCAGTTCATTGCTTTCTGTTACACTAACTTGTAACACTATCCATTACCATGGATAATTGGAAGCTGCCTATATTACTGATTAATAGTTGACATTTGCCCTATGAGGGCCATACCAGTTTTTAGATTCTATGAGTGGTTTACATTACTTTGGGTTTAGATAAATTTAAGCTCTTTCAGTGTATAATAATCTATTTTTAACTATTGTAAAGACACATTTAAGAAAGAACCCTTGTACTTTTGTGTTCATGTAGTATTAATAAGGGAGGAAGAGTTAGGAAGGGGAGCAGTTATGGATTTGGGGGGTTGTTTTTGCAGTTAGTACTACCCTACCAAAAGTATGCATCTTTTGTTGGTCACAAGACCCAGCTAAGTTCCTCAGCCCCCACCCCATACTTCCTATTCTTTCAAAGCTACATCTCTAGCTGATGATCATTTTTTTGGGCAGTTTCCTTACTGTCTTAGTGAATTATCAGATACCTATCAAAAAGAAATGAGGAATTAAGGTATTAGAAACTCTTTTTTCCCTAGGCAGGATCCAGTGATGTTTTTCTAGAAATGTGGTATGCCAAATTGAACATGTGAAATTTTCTATCTTCTGTCAACATTTTTTTCACCTAACCATTACTGTTTTCTGAATGTCACCTAAAATCCACTTGAGATTTCCTGTAGATGTTCTTAATCCTTAAAAAAAAAAAAAGTCTTATGGCACAATAGTTTCTTAGCTGATATGGACATAGTTTGATGAAGATCTGGTGGAGTTACTAAAAGATTACATATTATCTTTAGAAGTCAAGTTGTATACAAGTTATATAATATTTATTGCTGCTAGCTTCTGACTCCTGCTTTAAAATCTATGACTCAATTGGTTCCTAGTTATCTTCATTCCTAACTACTGGTTCTATTAATCCAGCTTCAGGATTCACTGTAACTACTTATTTTTCTCTACCTTAGTCATCTTTGGGGAGTACTCTTGAAAATTTCCTGTTATATACATTTAGCATCCAATGGTTATATAGGAAAGCAACTATTAACCCACATTCTTTTCAGTTTCTAAATAAGTGATAAGTCCATAAGAAGGCCTAGTAAAAGTTACTGCCATTGAGAAAGGAAAACCTTTTATAAAAAGCAGTAACTTGCTTGAGCTCTCCCCCAAACCCCTCCAAATATCTATAAAAAATGGCTCTAAACAAATCCTAAAGCGACAGAACCCACAGAAAGACAAAGTGAAACAAATTTCCGGCCCAAGACAACCTGGACGGTTGATCTGAAAGGTGTATCGTGCCAGGCTGGGAGAGGAGCGCAGCTCAGTGTGGGTGCGCAGGCAAGGCAAGCCTCAGCGAACCTGGAGCAGGCCTCAGAGGACTGAATTTCGGGCAGCTGTGGCAGTTTCCAGACCTCTCAACCCATGAACACCAAAGATAACTTAGGTCAGTGGGAAAAGTGTGTCTGTGGGGAGAGACAAAGTGCAGGGTCCCAGCCCCTTTCCTAGAGCTCACCCTGGGGCAGCGGCTGCTTCCTGAACTTTGGGCCCACAGTCTGAGGGGGAATCAAGTGGCTGATCAGAAGGGGATTGCAGAGATCTATCTACTGGTGCAGGATTCTCTTACTTTGCCGGTGCTTGGATCTGGGTCACAGTTCTGGGTGGTGGTCCTGGAGTGAGGAGGAGCACTGGCCTGGTGGAGCTTGTAGTGGCAGTGGAAAGGAAATCCTCCTCACAGTTCTAAGACAGAAAAGAGTGCTTGTGGTCACTCATAGACCAGAGCACAGGCCAGGAAAGGAGTAAACACCTCGCCCTTGATCACAGCACCTTGGAAGAATTGAAAATTTATAGGTTCCTAGAAGTATCTCTGAAAACAGCTGCACAAAACCCCCAAGCTTGGGACAGTACATTCTCCCACTGGAAACAGACCCCTACCTTAACAAAGAGTTTATAACTCAAGTAATTGGCTGGGATCATAAGCAAGCAGCGCAAAAAGAGTCAGACTATAGAATCTTACTTTGGTGACAAAGAAGATCAAAACATACAACCAGAAGAAGACAACGAGACCAAAGCTCCTACATCCAAAGCCTCCAAGAAAAATATGAATCAGTTCCAGGCCATGGAAGAGCTCAAAAAGGATTTTGAGAAGTAAGAGAAGTAGAGGAAAAACTGAGAATGATGCTAAAGGAGACCCAAAAAAATACTGAAGAAAATAACACCTTAAAAAACAGCCTAGCCCAAATGGCAAAAGAGGTCCAAAAAGCCAATGAAGAGAAGAATGCCCTAAAAAGCAAAACTGGCCAAATGGAAAAGGAAGTCCAAAAGCTTACTGAAGAAAATACTTCCTTAAAAATTAGAATGGAGCAATTGGAAGCTAGTGACTTTATGAGAAATCGAGACTCTGTAAAACAAATCTAAAAGAATGAAAAAATAGAAGAAAATGTGAAATATCTCATTGGAAAAACAACTGACCTAGAAAATAGATCCAGGAGAGAGAATGTAAAAATTACTGGATTATCTGAAAGCCATGATCAAAAAAAGAGCCTAGACATCATCTTTCAAGAAATTATCCAGGAAAACTGCCCTGATATTTTAGAATCAGAGGGCAAAATAGAAATTGAAAGAATCCACCAATCTCCTCCTGAAAGAGATCCCCAAAGGAAAACTCCTAGGAATATTGTAGCCAAATTCCAGAGTTTCCAGGTCAAGGAGAAAATATTACAAGCAGCCAGAAAGAAACAATTCAAGTATTGTGGAAACACAATCAGGATAACACAAGATTTAGCAGCTTCTACATTAAGGGACTGCAAAGCATGGAATATCATATTTCAGAGGGCAAAGGAGATAGGATTACAACCAATAATCACCTACCCTGCAAAACTGAGTATAATCCTTCAGGGTAAAAAATGGTCATTCAGTGAAATAGGGGACTTTCAAGCATTCTTGATGAAAAGACCAGAGCCGAATAGAAAATCTGACTTTCAAATACAAGACTCAAGTGAAACATGAAGAGGTAAACAGGAAAGAGAAATAAATCATAAGAGACTTATTAAGGTTGAACTGTTTACATTCTTGCATGGAAAGATGATATTTGTAACTCATGAGCCCTTTGTCTCATGTATTCAGTATTAGGGTAGTGGGAGGGAAAAAAATTATATGTATGTATAGATAGATAGATAAAGAGATAGAGGGCACAGGGTGAGTTGAAAATGAAGGGGTGATATCTGGAAAATAAAATTAAGGGGTGAGAGGATTATACTGGGAAGAGGAGAAAGGGAGAGGTAGAATGGGGTAAATTATCTCACATGAAACAGACAAGAAAAGGCTTTTACATGGGAGGGGAAATGGGGGAAGGTGAGAAGGGATGAGTGAATCTTATTCTTATAGGATTTGGCTTAAGGAGGGAATAAACACAACTGGGTATGGAAATCTATCTTACCCTACAGGAAAATAAGGGAGGAAGGGGACAAGAGAGCAGGCGGATGATAGAGGGGAGGGCAGATTAGGGGAGGGGATAATCAGAAACAAACACTTCTGAGGAGGGACAGGGTCAAAATAGAGAATAGAATAAATGGGGGTGGCGGGATAGGATGAAGGGAAATGTACTTAGTTTTTCACATGACTAATATGGAAGTGTTTTGCATGACTACACATGTATAACCTGTATTGAATTGCTTGCCTTTTCAATGAGGGTGGGTGGGGATGGAGGGAGACAATTTGTCGCCCAAAGTTTTAAAAACACATGTTACAAAAAAATTGTTTTTACATGCAGCTAGGAAATAAGAAATACAGAAAATGGGGTATTGGCATATATTCTGCCCTAAAGGAAAACAGAAGGGGTAGGGGATAAGAGAAGGGGGGGAGAGACACAAGGGAGAGACAGAAGAGGAAGGGGTATACAGAATACATGCCGTCTTGGGGTGGGGGGAGGGATGAGATGGGGAGAAAATTTGGAATGCAAAATCTTGAGGAAGTGAATGTTGAAAACTAAAAATAAATAAAGCATTAAAAAAAGCAAAAGAGAAAGGAGAACCATTTTGCATGTTTTTGAGCTGTGTGGTGCAGTGGATAGAGCACTGGGCCTGGAGTCAGGAAGACTCATCTTCATGAGTTCAAATCTGGTCTCAGAGACTAACTGTGTGACTGTGGGCTTAACCCTGTTTGCCTCAGTTTCCTCATCTGTAAAATGAGCTAGAGGAGGAAATGGCAAACCACTTTGCCAAGAAAACCCCAAATGGGGTCATGAAGAGTTGGATGCAACTGAAACAAATGAACAACAAAAAAGCATACATCATTCTGGGAACATTTACGATTATGAATACAACACTCCTAATCAGGAACAATCTAACCATATTCTAGTTAGGAAATGGATGAAGTTAATTATAAAAAGCAATTTTCAT